TCTTCACCATGGTGATAAGATAGGGCAAAAAACGTAAAATGTGAAGACAGTTGTAAGTTCGAGGACTGGTCAAAAGTGCGAGGACCAGTCAAAAATAACTTTTTCAGCCCTCTGAGTAGTCCATATGCATAAAAGGATACAGCAATAGAGAGGGATGAAGGAAGGGAAGGGAAATTAGAGTAGGAGTGAGGGTAAGAGGGGGAGGAAGAGAGGAGGAGAAGGAGAAAGGAAGAGGAAGTAGGGAGGAGAAGAAGAGTGGGGGGAAGAGAAAGTAAGAAGGAAAGAAAAGAGAGAGGTGGTAGGTTTGAGGAGAAAGATTGCTGTACAATAAAAAAGATGAAAGGGAAGAAAGCCAACCCCAAACAAATATAAAGATATTAAGATAAAGAATGAATGGTTAAACTTTAAAGAATAAAAGAGAACAAATATGAATAAATAGCAGTAATTAGAAACACATATACAAACATACAATTTATTTTCTTTGAACAGAGTATTTGGCCGGTTCACAAATTTAAACAGTATTTAGTCACTTCAATTACATTTACAATTTCTATATTTCCTTTTTGCCATATTTATTCCTCATCTATTTTTTTAAAAAAACCAATATTACCCTTCATCCTCATCTCTAATCTTAATCAAATTAAATTTTTCCCTTCTATTCTATATTATACCCCTTTCCATTGTCATCTATTTTTATATCCATCCTCACATTGTTTAATTATGTAATTATGTAATACAGTTGTTTAATACAAATTCAACATTTTAATATAAATCAATTAGTTATAAAACTATCTTTTTTTTATATTAATCAATATGAACATGAATATTCCAATTATTTCCATGCAATCCAATTTCTTACAAATCAATTAATTATATTTACCAATAATAATAAACCAAATAATTTCCCCCATATATTCCTCTGAACCACAACTTAACCATTTCTGCTTTCAACACAATATACAATTAATAGTATCTCAATTATTACAATTCCCTAGTTAAATACAGGTTTTTTTTCTTTTGTGTTTTAAAATTTTGAACTCTCCTCCTAAATTTCCCATTGTTTGCAGTTTTTCACCTACCTTTTTTGGGGAGGAAAAATAAAAATAAAAATAAATCTCTCTCTGCCTCATTTTGTCACGTTGCACCAAAGATCCTGGTTTCGGTTTCGTTTCTGCAGTTTAGCTAGGGGAAAAAAAACTGCTTCAGGAACTCTTTACACTGATTGCCTGTAGGGCGGCCCTTTGAAGCCCCGGGCAAGAGATTAAACAGTTTTTTTTTCTTCTAGCCATCAGCTGGGGCTCAAGAGACAGCGGGACTGAGGAGGCAGAATGAAAAATTGGGACTTTTTTGAAACGCCGCGGGACGCGGGACAAATTGCTAAAAATCGTGACTGTCCCGCCAAAAGCGGGACGTCTGGTCACCTTATGTTAAATGCACTTGAATATTATGAAGATCACCCAGGTAAACAGTTGCATTAGTTTTTATAGACGCCCAGAAGGCATTTGATAGGATCAATTGGGAGTTTATATTATTACAGTTAGAATACATGGGCTTTGGACAAAGATTTATAAACGGAGTTAAAGCCATTTACTCCAAACAAACGGCTAGATTACTGATAAATGGGGACTTGACGGAAGAATTTTCTATTGGCAAAGGCACAAGACAGGGTTGCCCTCTATCCCCCTTACTTTTTATATTATCATTAGAAACATTACTCGTAAAATAAGAAACAAGGAAAAAATAAAAGGTCTTGAAATTGGACACCAGGTATATAAAACTCAGGCCTTTGCAGATAATAATGGCTTTTATTTTGGAAGATCCCATAAAATCTGGTTTATCCCTGTTAGAGACAATTGAAGAATTTGGGGCGGTAGCAGGCCTATTAATTAATAAAAAGAAAACAAATATACTAACCAAGAACGTTTCAGAGGAAGATAAGAAGGGTTTACAGGAAGCGATTGGATTAAGAGTAGTCAATAAAATTAAATATTTGGGAATTTGGTTAACCGGCAGATGCTCAAGCATACAAGAGGACAATTATAATAAATTATTAACCCAAATAAGGAAAGACCTTGACAAGTGGGGTAAAATTCAACTATCACTTTTGGGACGGGTAACAACAATAAAATCTTAGGTTTTACCAAAGTTTAATTTTTTTGTTTCAAACAGCCCCAGCAAATCTATCATAAAAATTCTTTATGGATCTAAATCAAACAATAACCAAATTTATTTGGCAGGGGAAAAAACCCCGGATTAAAAAAAAAAAATGATGCAGGAGGGTAGGCCTGGGTTTACCTTGCTGGGAGAACTACTATTCAGCCGCTCTGTTAGTCTGGGTAAAAGAATGGATCACCTTAGGCAATAGCCATTTTCTCAAGATAGAAGGCCATGATTTATAACAAGGCTGGCATATGGCACTCTGGCGGGACAACACTCCACAAAGCAAATGGTTTACCCGGCATTATATAAGTAACATCTTAATTCGAAATTGGGAGAAGATCAGTAAAAAATACTATATTAAAACACTGTGCTGGATATCACCTCTAGAAGCGTTGATATATCCAAAATTATATAACCCTGTGAAAAAATTAATGTACAAAGACTTGCTGAATTCACGAGGAGAGCTAAAGCCAAAACAGGAGTTGAATTCCCAGGGATTACAATTGGATTGGTGGACCTATCTACAGATTCAATCAAAATATAAAAAAGACAGAGATAGGAAAGGTATAAATGTTGACTTGCAGGAGTTAGACAAAATTTTGATGGGCTAGGAAAAAGGCATGATTTCTAAAAGCTATAAACTGTTGATGAGATTAGAGATTAATGACAAAATAATAAAGGATACAATGATTGCCTGGGGGAAAAATTTTGGCTACTCAATTCATCTGGAAAAATGGCAAGAGATTTGGTGGGGGAATATGAAGCTAGTGGTTTCTTCGGCATATAAAGAAAATATTTACAAGATGCTATATAGATGGCATCTCTCCCCCGATAGATTGGCCAAAATGTTTACTGGACAGTCTGCTGAATGCTGGAAGTGTGGGTTTGAACGTGGCACTTATATTACCAATGGTGGACATGCCCAGAAGCAGTAAAATTTTGGGGAAAAATAAAAAAGTGGCTCAACGAGATCTTAAACCAAGAGATTGAATGGCGACCAGAGACATGCTTGCTCGGCTCCAAACCGGAAAATATTAAAAAAGATTCATGGTACCTTGCATTACGTATTATCACAGCAGCGAGATTAACATATGCTCAATTCTGGAAAGATAAAAATACCCCATCAGAGGAAGCAATTATAAAAATGATTTTGGATTGTGCGGAAGCAGATAAATTGACTAAAAAACTGGAAGATAGAGACCAACCCCAACATGTTTATCTTGGGAAAAACTATATATTTGGCTATCAAAGAGGAAACTATAATCCCAAACTAGATTAGGAGTTGTATTTATTGAAGAATTTATATGATACAAATAAAGTGAGGTCGGATAGACCTAATTGATTTATAAATGTAAATTAGGTTGTTCTGCCTCCCCTGGAATGTAACATAGATATATTGTGCCGAATATTAAGTTATTAAGGTACTACTTATAGACATGTATGTTATTTGTTTTGTTGTTTTGTTTGTCATTTATCTGGTGTGTTGTCTTCTTTTTTAATGACAAATGTAAATAAAGATTATTTTTTTTAAAAAAGGGGGGGTGGCTTCGGTCTGCCCAATTTTGAATGGTACTATCAAGCTGCAAGCTTAACGTGGGTGAAAAAATGGATAACGCTGAGGAATACTAGACTATTAAATTTGGAGGGACATGATTTGTTGATGGGTTGGCATGTTTTCTTATGGTACAAAGGAACAAAAATACAAGGTATTTCAGAAGACATCAAATACGTGAAGCTTTATGGCTGAATTGGGAGAAGAAACTTTATTACGTGAAAATACCTGTTTGGATATCTACAGCAGAGGCTTTTTCTTATCCCGTAATATTTAGAATGGAACAAACTATTAGGTATAGTGAACTATTGGATGAAAAGGGTGAACTCAAATTAAAACAGGAACCAGAGGAAGAGGGATTTAAGATGGATTGGTTTTCATATATGCAAATGTTTTCTAGGTATCGAGAAGATTGTAAGCAAGAAGGGTTTTACAATGCTTTGACTAATTTGGATAAGATTTTAATGGGAGCACACGATCATATTATTAAAAAGTTGTATGGGTTTTTGTTAGAGTTAAAACTGGAAGAAGAACAAGTTAAAGAATCGATGGTAGCATGGGGGAAAATTTTGGGTTATGGGATTGATTTAGAAAAATGGCAAAAATTGTGGTCTCATAACTATAAAATGACAATGTCTACAGCATATAAGGAAAATTTGTATAAGATGTTTTACAGATGGCATTTATCCCCATTGAGAATCGCCAGAATGTTCCAGAACAAATCAGAGAGGTGTTGGAAATGTCATCAGACCCAGATCCTATTACCACATGTGGTGGACATGCCTAGAAGCAAGGAGATATTGGACTAAGATACGCATGTGGTTGGAAAAAATGACAAAGAGACACATAGACTTTAAACCAGAGGTATTTTTATTAGGGATTTTACCAGAAATATATAACAAATGCCTGAATTCAAAGTCTTCTGCCATGTGATAGCTCATGATCCTTTAAAGTGTTCAGAGTGATTTACAACGTTCAAACTATAGATGTTGCGGAGGGGTCTGGATTTTTCCAACCCTTTACAAAAGTCTCAAAGAAACTTGCACCCCTCCGCCCACAGCATGAAGTCTGAGGCTACGGTCTCACAAATCACTGAGCAGAAGAAAAGATGAAGCTGTGGAAATCAAAGATGTTTTGTCTCCCACATCCAGCGCTTCTCCTCCAGCATTCCATAGGTTTTTTATGCTCATAATGTCATGCGCTAATCATAAGGATTTTTCAAAAGGCTAATCCTTCTAATTAGAGTTTACTGACCCCACGTATAAAACCTTAATTTATGGCCTCTTGGCAAACAACAAAGAGCTAAATTGCTTGCCTATTAATCACATTCAATCCTGGGAAATTTGGATTAAGCCAAGACCCCTGGAGGTTAAACTAGTTGCAGTGAGAAGAAAAAAAAAATGTTTCTTGGGTCAGTTCAAATGGGGCTTGCTCATCAGCTGGAAACAGCTAATGACAATCTCTTCACCTATCCTGCATTCAGAATCATAACCTGAGCAGCAGAGTTTTGCAGGCTCTGGAAACTAGATCTTGATGGCATTCCTGCTGCAAGATGAAAATTTGCTTTGCCTGACGCTCTTTGCATATCTGAGCCTTGTTGGGCTTCCATTGACAAAGACCCAATTTCCACGGGTGTGTATGACTGTAGAAAAGCTGCAATCCAAGGAGTGCTGCCCAGCTTTGGGGTCGAATTCGAACAATGTGTGCGGTTCACAGCAAGGCAGGGGCACCTGTCAGACGGTACAGGTAGACAGAAGGCCTTGGAGTGGGCCCTACACTCTCCATAACGTGGATGATCGGGAACAATGGCCCCTGAAGTTCTTCAACAGAACCTGCCAGTGTACAGGTGAGGAAAAAAAGGGAAGTTCTACAGATGTTTTATGATTAAAGCTTTGTTGCTAGCAGGGAATTTTAGAATTGTAGTTCTGGTATTGCTAGGCCGATCACTGTTCTTTGTGATAAGATTCCGACAGAGACTCTTAATATCCTCTTTATTTGATGCTGCTTACCAGTTTTGAAGCCCATGTAGGTAAAACTATATGCTTTGAGCATTCTAAATACCTCTGATAAGCTTTACTAATTGGCTTGGGTATTATTATTATTATTTCTGTCTGTTCATGTTCTGAAAATGCCAGCAAGGCACATCATAAAAATATCTTGCATTGTCTATTTTAATAATGTGATCACTCCTGAATAAGGCATGTTCATTGGGTGAACTTTGAGTTTTTCCTTTTAAACAATTTTGTGCCTATGAGAAGTGTGTATTTTGCAAGGAGTGGGGGAGGACATTGCCTCAAGTGAGATATTAGGAGGCATACTCCAAAGAGAATTGGTGACGGAAACTGAAAATGATTTCATTTATATTTAAGGTTCATGAGATTACTTTCTAGCTAGATATTTTAACTTTTCCCCTCTTTTGTCACAATAAAAATTATAATACAGTCACAAATTTTGAAGTCTCAAATCTCCGGTGATTAATGTTTGTGCCAATGTGCCAGTTTGGCAACGTTTCGACAAGCTCTCTACCTTGTCATCTTCTGGCCTTTACTATCAGTTTAGAAGTTGTGAGTCCTGCTTCATTATCCTAGCTGCAGCCTGACTGCATGTTAATGGCCCAGCTTTCTCTGGTTCCCTATTACTAACTGTCAACTGCAAAGAGGTAAGAATTCTAGTAGGTATCACAGCACCATTGGTTGCCTGTTGAGATCTCAGCATATCTTCTAGTTCGGTTCTTTCTCTCTCCCTATTGCTAGCTATCATCTGCAAAGAGGAAAGGATTCTGGCAGGCATTACAGCACCACTGGTTGCCTGTTGGGATCTCTGCCTGTCCTCTGATGTTAAAACTCGAGTTTCCCTCAGTGCAGGTCTCCAAATACTTGATAATCTAGAAGCGTCATCACGTCTGTCCATATTCTGCGGCATCTTTTCAATTTCGATAGCCTCCCTAATTATTCTCTTAGTAAGATGTTCCTCTTTCACCACTGTTCTAGTATTGTTGAAGTTGATCTTATGTCCCATGGCCTTCATGTGTTGTACCAAGGAAGAAGTTCGCTCTTCTTTTTTCACTCCGTTTTTGTGTTCTTCTAAACGCACACCTATTCGTCTATTTGTCTGTCCAATGTAAGATGACTGAGAGGAGGCACATGGCACTTCGTATACCCCTTGATTTTCCAGCTCAATTTTATCCGTGGGGTTTCTTAACATCATCAATATTTTTTTATCTGTGCGGAACACTGTTTTTATTTTGTGTTTCTGTAATATCTTACTAATTTTATCGGTAGTCCCTTTTATATAGGGCAGGATGGCTTTTCCCATATTCTGTTCTTCTTCTTGGGTTTTGCTCTGTCCTGATGTTCCTTGCCTGATTATACTTCTAATTTTATTTTCGTGGAACCCATTTGCCATTAATACCTCTGTGAGAGTCTGAAGCTCTGTTTGTACATGTGCCTCTGCTAGACGTTTAGTTCTAGTAATTAAAGTTTTTGCCACTGAATTTTATTTGCGAAGGGTGCTGGTGTGAGTGTGCGTTTAGGTATCTATTTGTGTGTGTCTTCTTTTGGTAGACACTATGTCCTAGGGTGGCATCAGTTTTCTTGTATATTAATACATCTAAGAATGGGAGTTGATTTTCAATCTCCATTTCCATAGTGAACTGTATCTTCGGATGCATGTTATTCAAATGTGCTAGAAAATTGTTTAGCTTGTCTTTTCCATGGGGCTAGATCACAAACGTATCATCTACATATCTGAGCCATAATTTTGGTTTATAAGTAGTTTGTTCCAATGCCTTAATTTCTAATCCCTCCATGAACAGATTAGCAATAACTGGGGAGAGCGGTGATCCCATTGGTGCTCCTTGCATTTGTTTCTATCTTTGCCCTTTGTACATGAAATAGGTGGATTACGACAAAAAGTTGCTCGAGCTCCTCCAGGATGTTACATATAAACCCTTAAGTACTGACCCAACTACATATTTAAAAAAAACGACCAAAACCAAGATAAAGGCCAGTCCCATAGATAAAGAAGTTCAACAAACAATCATCCCTAGATAGAAATTTCTAAAACTATATGGCCTCCCAAAAATACTTAAAGAGGGCATACCTCTCAGACCCATAGTTAGCTCCATAGACTCTCTGCTACAAAACTTGGCTAGATATTTAGCCAAACAACTACAACTGTTTGTGGAATCGATTGCTTCTTATGTGCAGAACTCATATCATCTCATAGAAATTCTGAGAAACCAATGCATAGAGCAGGGTGACCTACTTGTAAGCTTTGATGTGCTCTCATTATTCACCCAAGTACCCGTTATAGAAGCTCTAGCAATGATCAAAAATAAATACCAACCACCAAACCACATCATAAAATTGGCAGACAATTGCCTTTCTAACACCTATTCTACACATCTGTTCATGGAGGGATTAGAAATTGATCAGATGATAGGCAGAGATCCCAACAGGCAACCAGTGGTGCTGTAATGCCTGCCAGAATCCTTTCCTCTTTGCAGATGATAGCTAGCAATAGGGAGAGAGAAAGAACCGAACCAGAAGATATGCTGAGATCCCAACAGGCAACCAGTGGTGCTGTAATGCCTGCCAGAATCCTTTCCTCTTTGCAGTTGACAGTTAGTAATAGGGAACCAGAGAAAGCTGGGCCATTAACACGCAGTCAGACTGCAGCTAGGATAATGAAGCAGGACCCACAACTTCTAAACTGATAGTAAAGGCCAAAAGATGACAAGGTAGAGAGCTTGTCGAAACGTTGCCAAACCTTTAAAGTGTTGGTTAGGATTTTAGCCAGAGTTTTAAAAGACCTTACAAAGTGTTTTGTTGGGATTTTGGAGGATTTTGAGCTGAGATCTTAGCCAGGATTTTAAACATTTTAACTAACAGACTTTTAAATGATGCGGGAAAACACCCGAGATTGAATTTTTTTCATTCATGCTTTCTGGAATTATATCTAATTAAAATATTTAAGAGTTTCGGTCCCAATTTCATTTTTAAGAAGTTTTGGAATATTTTGATATATTTCTTTCTATTGTTTTCAGTTGTTTTTTTTTTTAATATAACTACCTTATGATTGTGATAGGGTCTTTGTTGCAGCATTTCTAACATTTATGATTATATGTCTTCTATGTTTTCTTGACAGATTTATGTTTCATCTGTAAAACATTTTATACCAATTTTCTTAACTTTTTTCCCCTCATAATTCTTCCCATTGGTCCACTGCAAATGTTTCTTTAAAATGTTGCATTCATGTTATCATGCAATTTTTAATTTGTTCTTTCATTACCTGCCATCTCTTGGCGGTTTATGTCTGCTCCCTCTTCCCTTCCCTTCCATGAGGCCTCACAATCTCACACAAGGAGGGGCAAAGGATGGACAGAGGTGTTTTTCTGGTCATGTATCTTTGTTTCAACACAGGAACATCTAGGAGTATCATATATCCTGCTCCAAAATATTGTTGGACTCCAACACTACCACTCATTGTGGCCAATCTTGAAGGATTATGGGAATTGTAATCCAACACTATTTGGAGAACATATTTTGCCTACCCTTGTTTTACCCAGCCATCTCGTGGCCTAGCAATCAAACATAGCATCCCAGGAAGGGGACTATTTTGTCTTTTGATTCAGGCTTGGAGTTTTTTATTTATTTTATTTTATTTTATTTATTTGTCAAACACATATAAGATAACAGATATAAGAATAAACATGATTATGAATACAGGATAAGGATACGAATAAATGGGGACAGTAGGACAGGGACTTTAGGCACGTTGGTGCACTTAGGCCCCTTACCGACCTCTTAGGAATGGGGTGAGGTCAACAGTAGACAATCTAAGATTAAAGTTATGGTGGGTTGGGGAAGAAACCACAGAGTCAGGTAGTGCATTCCAGGCATTGACCACTCTGTTGCTGAAGTCATATTTTCTGCAATCGAGTTTGGAGCGGTTTACCTTAAGTTTGTAAATATTGTGTGCTCATGTATTATTGCGGTTGAAGCTGAAGTAGTCATTGACAGGTAGGATGTTGTAACAGATAATTTTGTGTATTATGCTTAGGTCAAATTGAAGGCGGCGTAGTTCTAAATTGTCTAATCCCAAAATTTCAAGCCTGGTGGCCTAAGGTATTCTGTTGTGAGCAGAGGAGTGGACTTGTAGGTTATCGAAATCACGGCAGTAAGAATCTTGAGTTTAATGTTCCACAGCTTACAGAAATCCAGTGCACTTAACATTTCTACAATTGCTGTCATGAGCAAACATGAACATAGCAGTTTTATATGCTTACAATTCTAATTGCCATTAATTCCATGCTAAAAACTGTGTGTATATGGAAGTCTTGAACTGCATTATTGTACATGGTGGACCTTATATTACTTAAGTCTTCCATTTTGTAAATCAGGGATAATTAAATCAGGAAGCCTGACCTATTCTTGTTTTCTTCTGCTAACATACTTCTTGTAAATGTTTATTGTTTGAATGTATTGTAGTAAGTTGATTGGTTTAGAATAGAGGTCATGGGTGCAATTACAAGCAATTACCAGTCATTATTGCTGTGAGACAGCTAATTCCATAATACGTCTTTTCTGAATGCGGTAAGTTCCCATGCATGCAGGCTGTGAAGGGCTAATGGAATTCTTCTTCCCAGGACTATTCTGAAAATAGATTTCTTGAAGGTTCTCATAAAAGTAATCAGAAAAACATTGGAAAGGCCACCAGTGTAATAGTATTTTACTAAACTTTTCTAGTACTCTTTACTGTATCTTTATGATCAATTTGCCAACATAGCTAATAGCAGAAAAACTAATAATTATATGTAAACAAGGTCAGACTATCCCATGCTGAGAATTCTAAGGTTTTGAGCCCCAATCGTTCTAGATAAGGAGAATATAGACCACATTTAAGATGCTCCAGTCATATGCTCCTGCTGGCTTGACTCTAAGAAGGTTTAAGAACATCCTGCCTGGACTCAAACACTGGCAACAGCTAGCAAAATACTTAGTTTGGACTCCCACATATGTTTTTGGACAATCCTCTTGTTTCTGTAACCATCCCATCTTCTGAAAAGCAATGGCCAATCACTTTCCTTTCTGTGAGTAGATCCTGTGTGTGTGTGTCAGTGATGAAATCCAAATTTTTTTACTACTGGTTCTGTGGGCGTGGCTTGGTGGGCATGGCAGGGGAAGGATACTGCAAAATCTCCATTCCCACCCCACTCTGGGGCTAGCCAGAGGTGGTATTTCAGTGATGGGTTGCCCCTGGTTCAGACCGGTTCTATAGAACCGGTAGTAAAACCGGTGGGAGGCTCTGCCCACCGACCCCGATGTCATCGGGAGGCTTCTGCGCATTCGCATGCAGCCCCATTGCGAACCGGTAGTAAAGGTAAGTAGCACCCACCCTTGTGGTATTTGCCAGTTCTCCGAACTACTCAAAATTTCTGCTACTGGTTCTCCAGAATCTGTCAGAACCTGCTGGATTTTACCCCTGGTGTGTGTGTGTTTACTTATACATACTATACCTACCCACACAAGTTAAGTTAAATTTATACAGGTAGTCCTCATCTTATGGCCACAATTGAGCCCAAAATTTATGTTGTTAAGTGAGAATTTTGCCCCATTTTACGACTTTTCTCATCATATTTGTTAAGCGAATCACTGCAGTGTCTTAAATTAGTGACACGGTTGTTAAGTGAATCTGGTTTCCCTGTTGACTTTGCTTGTCAGAACATTGCAAAAGGGGATCACATGACTCTGGGACTCTGCAACCGTCATAAACGTGAGTCAGTTGTCAAGCATCCATATGTACGGTAAATCACGTGGGGATCAGAGGTGGGTTTCAGCAGGTTGTGACCAGTTCTGGAGAACCTGTAGCGGAAATTCTGAGTACTTCGGAGAACCGGTAGTAAAAAAATCTGACTGGCCCCGCCCCCATCTATTCTCTGCCTCCCAAGTCCCAGCTGATTGGGAGGAAATGGGGATTTTGCAGTAACCTTCCCCTGGATTGGGGAGGGAATGGAGATTTTACAGTATCCTTCCCCTGCCACGCCCACCAAGCAATGCCACGCCCACCAAACCACACCCACAGAATCGGTAGTAAAAATGTTTGAAACCCACCAACTGGTGGGGATGCTGCAATGGTCATAAGTGTAAGAAATGATCATCACTTTTTTCACTTTTTTTTTTGAACAGTCACTAAATGAACTGTTGTAAATCGAGGACTACCTGTAGTTACAAGATTTATAGTTACAAGGCTAAAGCATCATCATGCAAATATGTGTTTTGTCCTTTTATTCCATCTAGAACTTCTATATACTTTCCCTTACCAGCGTTAAGGAAATAGTACAGAGGTTAAGGTTAAGACTTATATCTTTGCCTAGCACACAGAAGCTGGCTACTGTAAAACCCAGTAGAAACATTTTGCCTTTTTTTTTTTTTAAAGAAATACATTTTTTGTGGATTGCATAGTTTTCTTTCTCTTCTTTTTTTTAAATGTCCAGAATTTGATTGTTTTACTACTTCTAAGTCACATGGAACGCAAGAACTTAGTTCCTAAAGAGTCCAGGTATACTTACGAGCTTGGGGGCCTAACCAGTGGTGAAATGTAAAAATTGTTACTACCGGTTCTGTGGGTGTGGCTTGGTGGGTGGGGGTTAATGTGACTGGGTGGGCATGGCCAACTTATTTTTTTTAACTTTTAAAACCATTTTTTCTACAACCTCTTCAGCCGAAGAGGTTGTAGAAAAAAAGCTTTTAAAAGCCTCTGACGATCCCAGCTGAGCCACGCGATCATCAGAGGCTTTTTTTTTTTTTTACTTTTAAAAGCATTTTTTCAGCCGAAGAGATTGTAGAAAAAATGCTTTTAAAAATAATTTTAAAAAAGCCTCTGATGATTGCGCAGCTCAGCTGGGCATGGCGCGGGGGGGGGGTGGAACGGCAGGGATTTTTTGCTACCGGTTCTCTGAACCACCGGCCTCCATCGCTATTGGATCAGGTGATCTGGTCCGAACTGGGAGCATTTCACCCCTGGGCCTAACTATGTTCAAAGCTGTATTGTGTTCTTAGAAAATGTTATCAAGTTCAAAAGACTTACTTTATAACATGAGCTTGGTTTGTTTCCACAGGGCAGCATCTAGCTTTTGTAGGGACAAGTTGTAATCACGTGTGTTTGACATTTATGTTCTTTTCTTGGCATTTTTATTTGTATCCAGCAGTAATATAAATGATGCTGTCTTTTTCTTTAGGATATTTTGCTGGCTATAACTGTGGCGAGTGCAAATTTGGCTGGACAGGGTCCAATTGTGAAGAAAAGAAGCCTCTAGTTGTCCGGAAGAACATCCACTCTTTAACAAATGAAGAGCGAGAACAGTTTTTAGATGCCCTCAATCTTGCCAAAGCTACTATCCATCCTGACTATATGATTGCAACCCATCATTGGTCGAGTCTGCTTGGTCCCAGCAGCAATGAGCCACAAGTCGCAAACTGCAGCATTTATAACTACTATGTGTGGCTTCATTATTATTCAGTCAGAGATACTCTATTAGGTTTGTGCTTTCCAGTTTGGTGGGAGGTTAAGTAGTGAAAAGAATATTGTAGGTAATATGCAGGGAAGGGCTTCAAAAATTTTAGCAAGGAGTTCTCTGCCTGGTTGCTGGGTGGGCATGGCCGTGGCCATGGCGGGCATGGCCTAATCAGCCTCCTGCACCACAGGGGGGTGGGGCGTTTCTGCCCTCCCTGGGCTCCGGAGGGCGAAAAGGGCCTCCCCAGACTTTAGGGATTAGAGGTTGTGCACCTAAATTATGAAGATTTACAAAGGCTGAAAAATTGGAGAGAAAGAGCAGAAGAAGGAATGGTAGAGAGGTCTTTGTAGATCTAACATACCTTTCAGAGTGTCTTTTTAACTGTAATTTTTGTTTCTCTCTCTTTTCAGGACCAGGTCGTCCCTTTACAGCAATAGATTTCTCCCATCAAGGCCCTGCTTTTGTTACCTGGCATAGGTATCATTTACTACTCTTAGAAAGAGACCTGCAGGTTAGTTGTCATCACTGTCTTCATCGTGTATCTGAAAGAAGCAACCAGGGCATCTCCTGGCCTCCATAATGCTCCAGGAAGGGAAGGATTCTCAATACAAGAAATGAAAAATATGGCTCACTGCATCTTCTACCAGAGCCAAGGTCAGGCAAAGTGGAGGCAGAAAAATGATAAGTTGGTGGGATCAAAACAGAACCGGTAGCAAAAATCCCTACGCCCCCCCCCATGCCCAGCTCAGTCCCACGATCATCAGAGGCTGTTTTTTTTACTTTTAAAAGCATTTTTTTCTCCAACCTCTTCGGATGAAAAAATGCTTTTAAAAGAAAAAAAAAAGCCTCTGATGATCGCGCGGCTCAGCTGGGATCGTCAGAGGCTTTTCAAAGCATTTTTTTCTGCAACCCCTTCGGCCAAAGAGGTTGTAGGAAAAAAAAAGCCTTTAAAAGCCTCTGGCAATCCCAGCTGACTTGCCTGATCATCAGAGGCTTCTAAAAGCATTTTTTTCTGCAACCTCTTAAGGTTGTAGAAAAAAGGCTTTTAAAAGTAAAAAAAAAAAAAAGTTGGCCATGCCCACCCAGTCACATTACCCCCCCCCACCAAGCCACGCCCATAGAAACGGTAGTAACAAATTTTAGATTTCACCCCTGAGTAAGATTTACAATAATGAATATTTACAGGGCCTCTCTGTGATAAACCAAGAAGTGTACATTTTCCTTCTACCTAGCTATTTTTTAAACAGGTTAGTATTTTATAGCTTTTTTAATTTGTTCATTCCATGTTTGAATAGACAGACATGAACCAATAAAATATGTAACAGTCTGTCTTCTTATTCCCAAACCATAAAATGTCCATTTTTCAAACCTTCTTCTTGGTGAACATATTTTTGAAATAGACTGTTACTAACTGATGTTAGTAAAAACATGTATACATTTCCCCAAGGCTCTCTGTATCTTACCATCCTTTTCCTAATAAAGAAGTATAATGCTAAGAAAAATAAATACCCTGAGAATGCATAATGTCTCCAGATATTCTAGACAGACCATTAGAATTCCTCTTATAGCTTGCAGGTAGAAGAACAATGTATTAGCACTAAGAAGAATCTATCTAATTTTGTTGTCACAGTCATCTTTCAAATACTAATACTCCAAGCAAAGCTATATTGAAATGCATCTGTGCTGCTTATTTTGTTGTTGTTGCAATATTGATTGGCTGATGGGGTTCGTTAATGAGAACAGACCAGAAAAAGAAAATAGGGAATATAAACTTATTTTAAAGTACTTTGTGCTATTCTGGTTAACCATTCTATTGCTCTTGGATAGCTTACCGGGTAATGCATGAATCCTGCATTAAAAAAAATAGGTATATGTCAGTTGGCAAATGAAATGGCATGGATCTTATTAATGGAATATATAATTTTAATGAACAAAGTCAAGAGATATTGCAAAGATACGAAAATTTGTTAATGATGTATATGTATCATTGCCAAAGACCAATATAAAGATGTGATTCAATCTCTTTTCTCCATCTCTTCTCCACACCCACATTTTTAGCGACTGATTGGCAATGATACCTTTACATTGCCATTCTGGAATTTTGCTACAGGCAAAAATGAATGCGATGTGTGCACGGATCAACTTTTTGGAGCATCAAGGCCAGATGAGCCGAATCTAATAAGTCGTAATTCAAGATTCTCAGAATGGGAGATAGTTTGCAACAGGTAACAAACATTTTGAGACCAGTGAAACATTGATGTTCAACCTGTCCATACTAATTTCCCATTGCCACTGTGGTTAATTATCTATCTTTCAATTATTTAATCAATATAGAGATTGAATTCAAATACTGTAAATATGCTTCTTAAGAAATCCTCAATATTTTTAAACCAGTGGTGGGATTCAAAAGTTTTTACTACCAGTTCTGTGGGTGTGGCTTGGTGGGTGTGGCATGGCTTGGTGGGCATGGCAGGGGAAGGATACTGTAAAATCTCCATTCCCTCCCCAGTCCAGGGGAAGGTTACTGCAAAATCCCCATTTCCTCCTGATCAGCTGGGACTCAGGAGGCAGAGAATAGATGGGGGCGGGGCCAGTCCGAGGTGGTATTTACTGGTTCTCCGAGCTACTCAAAATTTCCGCTATCGGTTCTCCAGAACTGGCCAGAACCTGCTGAAACCCACCCCTGTTTTAAACATTGAATGATTTATATGATAATTTTCCATTTTACTAAACAATCCTAAGCTTCATGGTATTTCAGTGAAGGTAGCCTTGGTGAAGTAACACAAGAGGAAAGGAGACAATATCTAAGGCAACTTCCAATTCCATGATTGACAAAAGGTGATTTATGTAACAAAAACCTATTTGACACATCCTTGGTTCAGGCACAACTTTAGCTGGTGCCACCACTGAGGTAGCAAGGAACATCTTTCTTGATGCTTATGTTTGAACCAAAATATCACCTGTATATGCAAGGATGACTCTGGACCCCAAATACACTTCATGGGGCTTCTTAGAAAGTAAGAAACATGGCAAGAGATCAGTAAGTTGATCTCAAGCAAATTGGAATGGGTTGAAAGGAAGAAAGATCAACCTTATCTTAGGTCAGTGATGGCGAAACTTTTCGGCACCGAGTGCCGAAAAGGTAGCACGGAAACATGCGTGCATGCATGCTCGTTGGGACTGCGCTCTGGAAAAGCTGAACTTCAGGGTTCTAGCACACATGCGTGCCCAATGATCAGCTGGCCGGCATGCATGTGCAGGCTGGTTTTTGGCACTGCCGCATGTGCGAAGGGATCACACTCTGGAAAAGCTGAAGCTGGCGCACATGTGCACCTGACAATCAGCTGACCATGTGCACACTGGTTTTCAGCACTGCCATGCATGCGAAGGACAGCTGATTGTCGCTTGCACATGCACGGCAGAAACCCGAAAGACAAACAGGCGAGGCCGCGCGTACCAGGTGACATGGCTTTGCGTGCCACTTTGGGCATGCTTGCCATAGGTTTGCCATCACGGCCTTAGGTTATGTCTCCCATGACAGCCATTTTGTGAATGGGCAAAAGAACAAGATATTTTCCAAATATTATATAAGCCTCTCAAAAGCTTAAAACCATTAAACCATGTTATGTGAATAAACTCCATGGTCATGTCTTGTCTAATTCTCCTCTCTTCCTCTAATGCAAAATTATTTTCACTAAATTATGAGAAGGAAAACCATTTCTTCCCCATGGGTTGCTTTTGCTCAGGGCCTCCAAGCTACTGATGCCAAAACTTTAACAGGATTAAAGTTAACATTGTTAAGGCCCAAATACTTCGTGTTCAGTTAATGCCAATTATCTGATTTTTTTTCCCTGCAGCACGTTAGCCATTTTAAGAAGTAACATTACATTTTGTTTTACCTCAGAATTGGTAAAACTGATATTTTAAAGAAGTGCTTCTTAAAGAATGGCCCAAAGTCCTCCTCAGGGGTTCGCAAATTCAGATTTATTTGTCAAATGTTTAAAGTATTTGCAAAAATGTAAAATAATGTCGCTCTTATCATTATTTTCATTTGTTAAAAAAGATCAGGTTATTTTCATAAAAATATTTTAATATCTAATCAGTTTAATATTGTTATTTTTTATGTGATTCAATAAGTAAACATATATGCAATTGCACAAATATGCAATTTTAATGTTTTAATACAGTAAATATTAACAAATATAGCACAACAAAATCTCTTTTGGAATTCTGCATAATTTTTAAAAGTGAGAAGGGGTCAAGTTAGAATAGTTTCAGAAATCCTGTTCTACGCAATAGTATCTTCCAGTTTTACACAGGACAGCTGTTGTTATCCTGTAAGCAATTTTAGTTGTAAACCTGATCTTGGATGTGTTTTGTATTTTGGCTTTCATCACCCTCAACCTGCACACTAGAGCTGTTATCTGTGCTTATTGCCAAATTGATGTAGAGTGATTATTACCAAATATAGTAGGGTACAGATTATCAAAATTCTGCTAACTGTTTAAAAAATCATTTGTGCTATTAATTTTTCGGGTAACTAATTAAAGGTTTAATTCTTTTCTACTGTGTAAGTCAGTGAAACAAAATTGGTCAGACATTACTAACCAGATCTAACTAACAGATGTAACTATTGCTATTTTGTCTTATTTTGAACCTAAGTTTGAATGATTATAACCGTCTGGTCACGCTGTGTAATGGAAGCAACGAGGGGCCTCTACAGAGGCATCCTTTTAGCAGAGCTGGTGATAAGCTGCCAACCTTGGAGGACATTCAGAAGTGTCTCTCTCTTCAGGACTTTGATAACCCTCCTTTCTTTCGGAATTCTAGATTCAGTTTCAGGTGAGTCCTTTGAATTTCAGAAGAGGTTTTGCTGCTTGACAATGACTTTTACTTCTGGCCAGAGATAGCCAGATGTGACATAGAATAGAATTCTTTATTGGCCAAAGAATTTGTCTCCGGTGCATAAGCTCTCAGTGTACATACAAGCAACAAGTGATAAATCATGATCACAATCATAAAACACCATCATCATAAATCACAAGATACAACAGCGATAGTCATAAGATGCTAAATATGCTATCAACATGAATCATAATAGGATACTGTCAGAGTATGAATATTCATGGACTGGAATAGATCAGCCAATGGGGACTGAATGGAGACATGGTAACAAGGTCAGCGAAATCATAAAATACAAGGTCAAATCATAAAATACAAACAACAAAGTTATAGTCATAAGAAGCTAAGGAAATAGGTAACAGGAAAGCTGAGAAGGTTTGACATCTCAGGGCATAGACAGCATTGTGGGAATTAATTGTTTAGCGGAGTGATGGTATGGGGGAAAAATTGTTCTTGTATTTAGTTGTTTTGGCATGCAATGACCTGTAGTGTTGTCTTGAGGGAAGAAGTTGAAACAGTTTATGTCCAGGATATGAGGGGTCTGTAGATATTTTCTCAGCTCTCTCTCTGGCTCATGCAGTATACACGTCCTTAATGGAAAGTGGACCAGTTGTAATTGTTTTTTTTCTGCAGTCCTAACTATCCGCTGAAATCTGTGTCTGTCTTGTTTGGTTTCAGTGCCAAACCAGACAGTTACTGTATAGAGGTGCAAATGACAGACTCAATAATTCCTTTGTAGAACTGTATCAGCAGTTCCTTGGGCAGTCTGATCTTTTTGAGTTGGCGCAGGAAGAACATTTTCTGTTGTGCTTTTTTGATGACATTTTTGATGTTAGGTGTCCATGCCTCTTTATTTGCCTTTGCCACAGGAACACATTGGAAGGTTTTGCTGAACCAGATGGGAACCTTGAGCCGCCAATCATCAGTCTCCATAACTTGATTCACTCTGTTTTGAATGGAACGGGTGCTTTCCCCCACTCTGCGGCAAATGATCCTATTTTTGTGGTATATTCTTTTGCTTTTGTTTTTCCATAAACTTTTAGAATTAAATAAGACTACATAAGAACTTTTCCCCATGTCCAGCAGGAAATGGATTTATGCCCAAAATAGAAATAATATTTTCTACTGATTAGTATATCTGACCTCTATTGACTACTATGCTTTTAGACTGGAATAGCACTAAGCAGGAAGCTGCAAATATGGTAAAAATATTAAGAGGTCAGTTGCAATAGTATGATAGACTATTAGTCTTTTTTAAAATGAGTATTTCATGAGCAACACAAATAAAAACAGCTGCTATCTTGACATTGTTTTACTGTACATTGTGAACTCCTTTGAGCATACATTAATGGGATACAGAACAAAATTTACATGTTATATATCAACATATGAAAATTTAATTTAAATAGACCATATACATATTTTGGGTTTTATTTAAATTTATAGGGAAGCAAATCAGGCATTTAATTTATCTTGCAAACCACGCAAAATATTCAGTTAATTTTCACTTTTATTCACCATGTTGTTCTTGTACCCGTTGTTGAAACATTATTGTATTTCATATATTCTCTGCTGAAGTCTGAACCACTCAGAAGTTTACAATCAAATCAGGTTATCAGTTACCCCAAATTAGTTACAGTCAGTTACAATTAGTTCTCAATGGTAGAGAAAAGGTATAAGAAAGATAAAATTAAAAGATCCAGTGGTATTTTCCCCCCCCATCATTTATCTCATGTATGTTGCTCAGAGATCTGGTGGATTAAGTGAGTTTCAAACATTTGAGAAGCTCTTAATCCCCACATTTGATAGATTAGGAGCCAAAAGTGAATCATATCGGGGGGGGGGGGGGGGGGATATTTGAAGTGATTTTCCTAATCCTGCTCCAGATTTAATCAGTGTTATGAATATTCCAGTTTTTTGCAATAGACAGAATGCCTTATAATGAGATAGTAAAATCTGGTTCATTGTTATTTTAAAATGTAACATTTATTATGCTGTTCTGAAGCCAAGAGTATCCATTACTTTCTATATTATTAAAAACAGCTGAAAAGAAAATAGTATTCTGCAAAGATAGCATATGGACACACACTGAAAGTGTGTTTTTCAGTACTTCACAACAGCCCTTTTGATTCTGGGGGCTAAAGATGTTGTAGGAGGACAGCTATGTCAGTCTGTGGTGGGAAAAAAAATCAGAGTGGGGGGGGAGTCTGATAGATTTTTTTCCAATCAACAAATATTATTAAAAAGCATGAAGCCGCAGCATATGAAAAATTAAACTTTTTAATAAAATCTGTTAGTCAAAAAGGTGCTACCAAAATACTTTTGATTTTCTGTGAGCTCCCTCTGCTGGTTAAATTAGAGTTTGATCCCTGCAACTAGTAGTACAAGTAACCAAAAGAGAAAGAACTTAAACATTCACTCTTAGTAAATTTCAATAAGAGTGCCAAGATTCCTTCTCAGCAGGTTTGAAATAATGGTCTGAAGCAAAGCATCCTCTGAGACCCGGTTTGTAATAAAGAATCTTAACCATCATGAAGAAAAAGCCAATAATATTTGCTTCAAATGGGAAGCCTTTCAAAGATTTGTTCTGGGGTAGTCTCTCTCTTTATAGAGACATGACGAAAGACACAAGGACAAAAACAACAACAAAAACAACAATAGAATCCTCTGTAAGCATTTAGACTTTTTTCTTGAATTCTGAATCCCAAACATCTGGGATTATACGTTGATACTATAGGAAGACTGTGTTTTAAAGACTTCTGTCTGACTGGTGAGCCTGCGTTAAATTTGTCAAAAACTTGTGGATAGGTTTTTTCACACATAGTTTTGTTCTTTTGCCAAAAAACTTCCTTGAAGTCTGTTTGCTTGTACAAAATTGTTCTTAGAACAAGCCTACAGCAGGGGGTGAATGATACTGGCTGAGATGCTGTTTCTGAGCTCTGGCCCAACCCTGATGTTTTAGTTCTGTAGTAAATTTCCAGACACCAGGAGAGCAATTTCCCCACCAATTTGTAGCAGGAACCTAAAGGAAATGGATGAGTGAAGCTTCTGATGGACTTAATGCATTTTAGATGTTGACAGATTCTTTCACGGTGCTGCTGTGTCTCCATCTCAGAGAAGAAGAAAAAACCCTGAAGTTATTTCTGTAGATATATTCCCCCCCACCTCAATGAACCTGTGGTCCCCAACTATAATAATATTTACCCCTGAGATTTAACCTGAAGCACAGACCAGTTTGCAGATACTACCTGGAAGAGAATATGGATTAATCAGACCTTTTGCAGGACAGAAATGGATAATTCTACCATTTTTCTTCTGCAACATCTTTCATTCTTCAGGACAGAGTAGCTCTTGAGTATGATGGACAAGGACGCATGGTGAATATGGATAGCCAGAAAGTAGTTATGGGTAGTCGTTTGTTTTCATTATATTTGCATTGCCATATTAATCATTTAAGATGAATATCAATTGGAATTACAGGTCCTTCATTCCTTCACTGATGCTATATTTGATGAGTGGATGAAACGATTCAACCCATTGGACAGTGCCTGGCCCCAGCAACTGGCACCCATTGGTCACAACCAGATGTTTAACATGGCGCCCTTCTTCCCTCCTGTCACCAATAAGGAAATGTTTCTAACTGCTGAGCAACTTGGCTATAGCTATGACATTGATCTAGCAGGTAATATTAATTGATCCCCCCCCCTTGAATTTCAGAATTCTTTCTTTCTGAATTGCACAACAGTCAGGCACCCTGTTACTGTAGTTGATGCAAGATCTTTGTGGTTGATGCCATGGAATTAGTCTGCAGGTTTTAAAAGTCCAGCTATTCTCACAGCAACCTTTTGAGCCAGGTGTCAGGGCTGCCTCCGTCCATTTCCTAGGAAAGAAGAATCCTTGGCTCCATAGATTCAGAGAAAAGTACTTTTACTAGGAACGAACCGAAAGCAACAAGTTTCAGGCAAGATCTGAGGCAAAGCATGCGAAACAGCAAATTGAAAGAAACTGTAGAGCCCAACCCCCTTGTAGCTAGGCAACCAGAGGGCTGCTGTATACCAAAGCTAGAAGAAATGAACTTGGAGAGATAAGCAAAGCCCAGACCTGTAAATTGCAAAGCTGCAACGAAAGATTCTCCACTGACTCCTCCCCTTTTGTCCATGGCAGCAAGCGGCAGGCTAGCTGACACCAGGTCAACGTGAAGAAGCTTTAAATCCAAAAGAGAATCGGAACCCTTGTGACCCTGGTTTTTATACTCCCCACATTAAATCCATAATGGCTCTGCTTCTCCCAATTTCAGTACATCGAGGTTACCTCAATGCATCTCTTTTGTTGGTTTTTAAATGCAAACATATACCATATTTTTTGGAGTGTAAGATGCACCTTTTCCCCTCAAAAAAGAGAGTGAAAATCTGGGTGCATCTTATACTCCGAATGTAGCCCTATCCGGCTTCTCAGAGGTTTCAGAGGCTGAAAAAAGCATCAGAAAAGAAGCTTCAGAAAAGAAGCCCCCAAACAGAGCTTCAGAGGCTTTTTTTCTGAAACTCTATTTCGGAGGCTTTCAGTGGCAGGAAAAAAAGTTTTTGCAGGAGCATCTTCTGCCATCCTCCCATCGTCCTGTATGCTCTCACAGAGCGTGCCTCCTCAGGGTGCCGTCGGCTAGACAATGTCGGCTGGCGGTCCCCAGGGGGAGAGCATTCTCTGTGGGAGCGCCGACCCTATGGAATGGTTTGTCCACCGAGCTTAGGACAGCCCCCGACCTCCTCTCCTTCCACCATGAACTGAACTGTGGCTCTTTCATCAATTGGACTGACCCATCTAGGGACTTTTACATTATAATAATTTTAATTAATTTTAACCGGATTTTAATTTACATTTAAATTTAAATTGTTGAATTTTATTCTTTGTAAGCCGCCCTGAGTCCTTCGGGAGAACAACGGCATATAAATTGCATAAAATAAAATAAATAAAATAAAATAAAACAGAGTTTCAGAAGTTTCAGAGGCAGGGAAAAAAAAAAAGGCAAGGCACAGAGCTCACAACCAAGGAACCTGTTGCTAAAATTCACCTCTGGGAACAGCTGATTGGGGGTATTCTGGGAGGCCGATCCACCTGCCAATCAGCCTTTTTCTTATTTTCCTCTCCAAAGACGAAGGTGCGTCTTATACTCCAAAAAATACGGTAATCCTATTTTTAAGAGCTATGGTGGAGTACCTAATGTTTTTCATGTTTTGTATTATATATCTTTGAAGAGTGGTGTTTACCTACAACATTGTCACACCTCATAATGTTTCTCTACTTTTTCAGAATCTGCTGAAGAATCCCAGGCATGGGCTCTGATGGTGGGATCCACTATTGTGGGAGCTCTCATAGTTTTAGTTGTGCTGGTCCTTCTGCTTATCCTCTTACAATACAAGAGACACCGGAAAGGCTTTGAGCCACTAATGAATGCACAGTTCAATGTAAAAAAGTACATGAATGAACCATAGCAGTGAAGTCCTGCTTTACGTTATCTCTCCCCATTTCCCATTAGATCTTGGATTTATTTATAGCATCCCCCCCCCCAACCTTGGTGGCTTTAAACTGCATGAAATCTTTGGGAAAGGTACTTATTCATCATTATATTCTTTTGGAGAAATTATCTCAGCACAAATTCCTCAAAACTGCAAATAGACAAGACCAGAGTCATAAATTTGAGAGGGGCGGCCATGTATATTGAAGGAGTAAATAAAGATATGAGGTCACAAAGAGGGACATAACACTGATTGTACACCCAAGCTCTAAGGATAATGTTTTACATCACCATCATCTACTAGCTAATCACAGAACTTCTCAAATTCGACTGCATGCCTGCTTAGTGTTTCTGTTATTTTACTATTTATTTACTGCACGGTGTTATAAAGAGCGCACCTATAACTGCTTCGGTGAGAAAAACCATCAGCATTGCTTCCTTAACTATTTTCTCTTGAGTCTATGCATTCATTCATTTTGGAAGCTAATTCCAGGAATAAATCCCAGGACAATCAACCAAAGAATGAGTGCACAGAAGAGCAACAAAGATGATTAGAGGACTAGAACACGAGGAATGGTTGCAGAACCTGGGTATGTCTAGTCTAACACAGAGAAGGACTATGTGATAGCAGTCTTTCAATAGTTGAGGTACTGTCACAAGGAGAAAGACAACCTATTCTTCAAGGCAGCTGAGAGCAAGAAATAATAGAATCCTATCAAAGAGAGATCCAATCTATAACTAAGGAGAAATTTCCGGACAATGAGAACTATCAATGAACACCTTGTCTCCAGAAGCTGTGAGTGTTCCATCACTGGAGGCTTTTCAGAAGAGATTGCATAGCCATTTGTCCAGAATGATATAGGACTGTGATGGCGAACCTATGGCACGCCTGCCACAGGTGGCACGTGGTGCCATATATGTGGGCACGTGAGCATTGTCCTAGCTCAGCTCCAGTGCACCGGCCAGCTGATTTTCGAGCCTTCCAGAAGTCAGGAAACGTGCTGTTTCCAGCCTCTGGAGGGCCTCCAGGAGGATGGGGAAGGCTGTTTTTGGCCTCCCCAGGCTCCTAGAAAGACTCTGGAGCCTGGAGAGGGTGAAAAACGGGCCCACTGTGCCATTGCGTGCCAAAAGCAGGGGGAGCGCAGAGGGGGTGCTCGTGCATGCGCGGGGAGGGCAAGGTGCATTGAATTATGGGTGTGGGCATGCATGCTCCCCCCGCGCTCCCCCCGCTTTTGGCATACGACGGGAAAAAGGTTCGCCACCACTGGTATAGGATATCTCCTTGAGTTGGAGGTTGGACTAGAAGACCTCTGAGGACCCTTCCAGCTCTGTAATTCTGTTCTATTCAATGTGTAAATAAAAACAGAAAATGAATATTTTACCCATATTTATCTAGAAGTAAATTCTGTGGCATTTGACAAGACTATGTAATGTTCTCCAGTTATGAGCTCTAAGCCAGAGATCCATGTCTCTGTGAAGCTGATCAGTGGTAGGATTCAGCGGGTTCAGGCCAGTTTGGTTGAACTGGTTGTTAAATTGCTGGCTGGCCCCTCCCCTCCCCACCCCTTCCAGGAGTTCCCACCCAGCCCGTTTTGGCTCCCAGGCAAGTGCAGGGAGGCCTACTAGACCCAAAATAGGGCACGGGGTGCGGCATAATCCCCCCACAGCCCATTTTTGCTCCCAGGAGGCTGCAGGGTGGCCTACTAGGCCCAAAACAGGGCTAGGGGGTGATGTGCCCACCTCCACGGGCCGTTTTTGCTCCTGGGGCGGGTGCAGGAGGCCGAGTGCTGCCTTCATACCCTTGGCCACACTCACCCAGTCGGTCATTAGGGCAGAGAACCGGTTGTTAAATTATTTGAATCCCACCATTGAAACTGATGGATATTGATGCTCAAATCCATTAAAAGCTATTCCTATTATCCACCTTGATATATTAATAACCATCTAAGATTCCAAGAGAGGCTGGATTTAGCTGCCTTTCGGCTGTTTCAGCATATCAGAAATCTGAAGAATTGTAGGTAAAAGAGAATGCAAGCCTACTTAGTTGGCCTAACTAAAGAAACTGCAAAAGCATTTTGTTGCTATTTGTTTTCAGTGACCAGTGGATTGGGAATTCCGAGTTGTTTCCCCCCATAAAAATCCAGAGCCAAAAACTGTGATTTGTTGTTGGCTTCTGATCTGTCAAAAGCTAGGAATCCCAGTTTGCACAAGCCTGGAAACTTTGGAAGTGGACTGAGAGAAATATGGATTATTCCTGTAAAGAGTATACCCTGAGCTACGCCATTTTAAGTACCTTATTTTACCTTGTATAACCTGATTATATAACCAAGCAATAGGAACATGAGAAGAGGAATTGTTTTGCTTCTGTGATGCATGTTTTGAAGGATATATGATGCATATTTTTGAGGAAATAGATGTTCTGGTAAATTCCGAAATGGGCCTGTTTGGGGCCTGCCCATTCCAGAAGCGAAGTCCACAAATAACGATACCAAGTGCATCAGGGGTATTTTTGTAGGGTATTTCTAACGGGAATAATGGAAATTTCCAGGGCGGAACATGTGCCAAATATGTTATATAAGACCTGAAACTAATGCTCTGGCGAACCGTTTGTATCCTGTTGTATTGGACTTCTGTATCCTGAAAACTGTATTTAAACCATGTACGCACAGCACTGAATTGTTCTCTCTCCTCCAGGAGAGAACCCTTTTGCAAAAGTTCATAATAAACTGCTTTTGGCTTGTTCATTGTCTCTGTTTTATTCCTTAAAAGGTAATGCTGGTTTCCTGCATTTAACATGGACCTTCCAAAATTATTACAATATTATATGTTGCATGTGAGAAGAAAATTAATTATACTGTTTAAATATTAACAGACCAATTTCATGGAAAGTAATCATATTAATACTAATGAATGAATTTTGATTTGAATTTAAATTGCCTGAAATTCTACTTCAGTGACTTCATTTTTGCCTTGTCCCTTTCTCATTTAAGGCACTCACTTTTGGGGAAATGGCTACAGGCATTTCTTTCAAAAGCCAAATGCAGCCCTTATGTTGCCTGAAAGTTTGGTCCCATTTGTGGATAGAAAAAGGCAAGTCGCTGTGAATCCCCAGAGATAACTAATGTGATGCTGGGTGGGATTCTAGATCAGGGTTTCACAGTTTCAACAATTTCAAAATGTATGAACTTCAACTCCCAGAATTCTTCAACCAGCATACCTCTAAAAATTGCTGAGATGTTTTTTTTTTTTAGTAAAAATTGGTAAACTAGAAAAATGTGGGATAGACAGCATCACCACCACCAGATGGATTTGTAACTGGCTGACAAACTGTACTCAACAAGTAGTCCTTAATCTACATCTACATGGAGGAAAGTAAGCAGTGAGGTACGACAAGGTTCTGTCTTAGGCGCAATACTCTTCAATATCTTCATAAATGTCTTAGATGAGTGAATAGAAAGGGAACTCATCAAATTTGTAGTTGACGCTAAACTGGCACGAATAGCCAACCCCCCCCAGAAGACAAGTTCAGGATCCAAAAAGATCTTGACAGGCTTGAAAACTTGAAAAATGGGCCCTATCCAAAAACATGAAATTTAATATGGAGAAAAGCAAGTGTAACTGTGAGAGGAACCTTGGAGTCCTAGTGGACGTGGTAGCAGTATCCCAGTATTTAAGAAGCTGCCACAAAGAGGAGGTGGTCAATTTATTTTCCAAAGCACCAGAAGGCAGGGCAAGGAGCAATGGGTGGAAACTAAACAAGGAGAGAAGAAACCTGGAATTAAGGAGAAACTTCCTAACAGTGAGGACAATTAACCAGTGGAACAGCTTGCCTTCAAAAGTTGTGTGTGCTTCATCACTGGAGCTTGAGCAGGGGTCTGGACTAGAAGATCTCCAAGCAGTGATGGGATTCAGCCAGTTCACACCACTTTGGGAGAACTGGTTGTTAACTTTCTGAGCAGTTTGGTGAACTGGTTGTTGGAATAAATCATTAGGGCAGAGAACCAGTTGTTAAATTATTTGAGTCCCACCACTGCCTCCAAGGTCCCTTCCAGCACTATTCTGATTGTTTGAGAAACACTGTTCTAGATGTTATGTTATGACTGAACAAGTGCAGGGAGATACAGCCTTCTCTGACCCTAAAAACATGACATTGTCCTATGTTTTACATGTTTGCCTCCTCCACTTGTGTGAGGAAGGTGCCTTCTATTTTTGGTCATATGATTTGGAACCCCATCATCTGCGATAAGTTAGATCAGAGGTGTCAAACACTATTTCATTGAGGGCCGCATCAGGGTTATGTTTGACCTTGGGGGGGCTGGGGTGGGTGTGGCCAGAGTGGGTTTGACCAGCTTGATGTCACTCGTGTTGGGGGGGGGCGCCTGTGGTGGCTCGAGCACTCTGCCCAGTGGTGGGTTTCAAATTTTTTTACAACTGGTTCTGTGGGTGTGACTTGGTGGGCGTGGCATGGCTTGGTGGGTGTGGCTTGGTGGGTGTGGCAGGGATACTGTAAAATCTCCATTCCCACCCCACTCCAGGGTAAGGTTACTACAAAATCTCCATGTCCTCCTGATCAGCTGGTACTTGGGAGGCAGAGAATAGATGGGGGCGGGGCCAGTCAGAATTTTTACTACCGGTTCTCCGAATTACTCAAAATTTCCACTACCGGTTCTCCAGAACTGGTCAGAACCTGCTGAAACCCACCTCTGACTCTGCCAGTGAAAATGGGTTCCCGAGCTCTGTTTTTGGCCAGGATGGCCTCCTGCATCCCTCTGCCTGCAAAAACAGAGCTTGGGGGGGGAGGGGTGCATGCGGCCCTCCCGGGCTCTGTTTTCACTGGCAGAGGCACCACGGGCCAGTCGTTCACTGTTTCCAGGATGGGCCAGTAGGCTAGATCTAAGCACCCTACAAGCCGGATCCAGCCTGCCGGCCTTGAGTTTGACACCCCTGAGTTAGATGAAAAGCAGGTGCAGTTCTGTCTCATTTCATAACATCAGCAGTCTTGGAGGGGCCAGCTAAGCCAATGTATTTCTTTCTCGGGGACAATATGCTGCGACGTTTAGATTTGCAGTGCTCCGAAGCATTGAATCCATGGCTCTTGCGGTGATCTCTCTGCCTCATACCCCCACTTCCCAGCCCCTGGTATTTTGCTGGGAAAAGTAACTGGGCAGCTGCGTTGCTGAAGTTTTTTCCTCCTTGAAACTGGGTAGTCATTGACAGCAGGCAGGCAGGCAGGCAGGAGGGGTCTGTGGCAGAAGATAACCCAACTCTGAGAAGATTTTATGCTCTTCCAATATCTCTTCTTGAGTGAAAATTTCAGAATATTCCATCTGAAAAAAAAAATCTTTTTGTGAAGAAGTTCTTTCAACCTCAAGCCTTATTACAAGGATGTCTGGTTACAACTCCCTGTCTAAGCCACTCAAATTAATGTTATCTGCAAATATTATTGCCCAACAGATATGATGGTCTTCTCCTGAATGTAGCTAAGTTTTTCTCTACTATTGCTAAAATATCATGTCTTGTGATGGGTTTTATAATTAGAAGGTGTTTTCTTTTTTCATTTGGAAAAGGTCAATGACAGAATAATGTCATTCATGGCTTAGGCCCGGGATACTTGCAGGACCATCTACAGCCGCTCTCCCACTGTCCTGTGCGCTCTCACAGAGTCGGCCTCCTCAGGGTGCCGTCGGCCAAACAATGTCGGCTGACGGCCCCCAGGAGGAGGGTGTTCTCTGTGGGAGCCCCGACCCTCTGGAATGGATTGCCCACCGAGCTCAGGATAGCCCCCGACCTTCTTTCCTTCCGTCGCGAGCTGAAGATGTCGCTCTTTCGTCAATTCAACTGATCCGTTTGGGGATACATTGTCATAATTTTAAACTGTTTTTAACAGGGTTGCTGATTTTAATTTTATTTCATTGTGATTTGTATTGGAATTTGTCATATTGTAAGCCACCTTGAGTCCCTAGGGAGAAAGGCGGCATATAAATCGCAATAATAAATAAATAATAAATAAATGACAGAATAAAGTTTTTCATTCAAACTGATAAATTTGGGGGAAACAACAGCAAAATAATAATCTTTGCTTCCTATCAGATTTCCAGCGGGAAACTGAGCATTAGCATCTTCTGTACTTCTTTCTTGATTTTAGCCTAAACCTGCTCCAAATGATAGGCCTGGAATGAGTACATTTCTTTAATACCGCATAGATTAATAAAGAGAAGTTACCCCCATTAAAGTCTATACAGATTCCTACCTTCATGTTGAGATATAATATTGGACTGCCAATTAACTTACTCCTTTCCTTGTTCTCTCACACCCTTCCTTCCGACTTTTTAAAATGTGCATCCTACCTTTGAGCTTTCTGCAGTTCCTGGTTTTGCTTATTTTGACCTTTCAACCATTGAGGAAATCTTCCTGAGAACTATCTGAAATAATGCCAAAGAGGGTTTGGGGGTGTTTCATTAATATGATACCAAGCACAAGTTCTCAGAAGGAGCAATTTTATATATTGTATTAGACTTTAAAAGGGGTTTTTTTGGTATAAAAATGGCAGCACACTGTATCCTCCAGTAGCTCTGCTTTAATTTAATATATTCCATGATTTGTAACACTTGGTTTCACCTCCTTACACTCTCCATCAAAATATGCTGTGCAGGCTGATTAACAAATTAGATTATACATTCTAAGAGAGCTTGTTGTTAATTTAATTGAAACCTAATTGTGACTTCATTAACACCTTCTAATTCCCTGCCCCATTAATACTTAAGGTTATTCCAGATATCAAGTAACTCCCACCCCCAAAAAACCCCCAAAGCAAAGCAAAGCAAAGCAAAGCAAAGCATGCATTTGAAAGTAAATTCCATCTGGTGTTACAGAACTTGCATCTGTTTTAGAGACTAACTGTTCTCTTCTTCTGGCCTGGCCCTCTGGAACAGGCAACTGTCCAGAGATGCAAATGGCTCCCATCCTGATAATGTTCCGAAAAGTGATATTCTGCTAGACCCAGGGGTGAAATCCAGCAGGTTCTGACAGGTTCTGGAGAACCGGTAGTGGAAATTTTAAGTAGTTCAGAAAACCAGCAATTACCACCTCTGGCTGGCCCCAGAGTGGGGTGGGAATGGGGATTTTGCAGTATCCTTTCCCTGGAGTGGGGTGGGAATGGAGATTTTGCAATATCCTTTCCCCAGGAGTGGGGAGGGAATGGGGATTTTGCAGTATCCTTCCCCTGGAGTGGGGTGGGAATGGAGATTTTGCAGTATCCTTCCCCTGGAGTGGAGTGGGAATGGAGATTTTGCAGTATCCTTCCCCTGGAGTGGGGTGGGAATGGAGATTTTGGAGTATCCTTCCTCTGGAGTGGGGAGGGAATGGAGATTTTTGCAGTATCCTTCCCCTGCCACGCCCACCAAGCCACACCACACCCACCAAGCCATGTCCACAGAACCGGTAGTAAAAAAAATTGAATTTCACCACTGCCCAAACCCCAGGAGAGAATGGTGGTTGGGATGCTTGTTTTGTATGGAACCTTTCCTGGAAACATAGCATTTGTTTCTTTGTTTTATGGTTCTGATTTTTTTATTATATAAAGCAGTCAAGAGTCAGTTAGAGTTGAACCTTTATGTAATTAATGTCATGAAGGAAGGATAGATGCTGGATGCAGATAGGTGGTCATTCAAGGAGTGCACCATTTTTGGGGTATCTTCATTCCAAATTAATTGGAATTTACAATATGAATAGAATAGAATAATAGAATAGAATAACAGAGTTGGAAGGGAGCTTGGAGGTCTTCTAGTCCAACCCCCTGCTTGGCAGAAAACCCTACACCACTTCAGACAAATGATTATCCAATATCTTCTTAAAAACTTCCAGTGTTGGGGCATTCACAACTTCTGCAGGCAAGTTGTTCAACTGATTAATTGTTCTAACTGTCAGGCAATTTCTCCTTAGTTCTAAGTTGCTTCTCTCCTTGATTAGTTTCTACCCATTGCTTCTTGTCCTGCCCTCAGATGCTTTGGAGAATAGCTTGACTCCCTCTTCTTTGTGGCAGCCCCTGAGATATTATTGGAACACTGCTATCATGCTTCCCCTTCTTTTCCTTAAACTAGACATACCCAGTTCCAGCAACCGTTCTTCATATGTTTTAGCCTCCAGTCCCCTAATCATCTTTGTTGCTCTTCTCTGCACTCTTTCTAGAGTCTCCACATCTTTTTTGCGTCGTAAAGAATTATATGGGGATAGTAGTCTGCTGTTATCATCATCTCTACAGGATATGAGGGACAGAGTTGGCATTCTGATGGATAAAAGTAAGATTCAGATTGTAACTCTTTGTTAGGCTGCAGGTAGAGATATTTACATGGAAATAAGTCCCATTAGAGCTGCTTTAGCAAAGCTTGCACAACTCTTATTGACCAAAAATATTTATTTATTTAATAAACACTCTTCCCCCGCCATTTAAAAACTTTGCAACTTACCATGTTATGGTCACCATTCAGAGTATCTTGAAAGCATGTTTTTATAATCACTGCACTGTTTGGTACAAGTGAAGCTTTACAAATACACTCAAATGACGTCTTTCTAGATTTCTGATCACATCACTTTGTGTAAAACACTATCCATGATGAGACATGATTGGGAATAGCCAAGGTCTAGAATATCTTCAGCCATGATAATTCACTGAATAATTTTGATTCAGCCACACAGGATTGTTTTTGTAGGGATAAAATGAAGGGGAAGCTCCACGTAAGCTGTCCTGAGTTCTTGGAGACGTGACTGGGTATCAATCAACCAGCCAACCAGTGGTGAAATTCAATTTTTTTTACTGCTGGTTCTGTGGGCGTGGCTTGGTGGGCATGATGTAGCTTGGTGGGTGTGGCTTGGTGGGCGTGGCAGGGGAAGGATACTGCAAAATCCCCATTCCTCCTCATTCCTGGGGGAAGGATATTGCAAAATCTCCATTCCCACCCCACTCTGGGGCCAGCCAGAGGTGGTATTTGCCGGTTCTCCGAACTACTCAAAATTTCTGCTACCGGTTCTTCAGAACCTGTCAGAACCTGCTGGATTTCACCCCTGCAACCAACCAACCAAATAAAAATAAACAAATATATATATCTATCAGTCACTTTATGTTCACTGGGGGCTCAGTCCCAGTTTGTGAGTCTGCACCTTTCCTGAGTCCTTTGCAAACAGAGAAGAGAGTCAATGCTGGGTGACAACATATATATATGTGATCAGAAAAGAATTGCAGGCTAGTTTGGTCTATTAGGACTAAAGCTGTAAAACATGCAAAGCTACTTCTTTTACTCATCTCATCCTAGAGCAGAATGACTCATAAAGAAAGATTTATAACAAAGGATTGCCTTTATTATAGTTAGCTTTTGGCAATGTTGTTTGCACACTCAAGTTTTATGACAGTGATGTACGATTCAGCCAGTAGGTATCATGATACTTCTTAAGTGAAAATGAAAGATTTCCTGTTTATTAGATGCACCATAAGGGGAAAAAAAAAAAAAAGGGGGGGGAAGTAATGATTCCCTGAACAATTTTGTACTCTTTGAATGAGACTTGTAGTGAGGCAAGAACTATACAAGCAATCCCATAACTAAACAATATCTTGCTTATATGCAGGGGTGGGCTTCAAAAATTTTAGCGAGGGGTTCTCTGCCTCGTTGCTGGATGGGTGTGGCCATAGTGGGTGTGGCCTAGTCGGCCTCCTGCAGCCTGGTGGGGGGGTGTTTTTGCCCTCCCCGGGCTCCGGAGGCTTTTCTTGGGCCTCTGGGAGGACAAAAACAGCCTCCCCAGGCTCTGGAGGCCCCCTGCAGGCTGGAAACAGGCCCATTTCCGGCCTTCCTGATCTTCCGATAGGCCTATTTTTCACCTTCCCTGAGCCTCCATGTGCGCCTTGCATTTACCTGCATCTAAAACGGGCTGTGTGGGGACTCCAGGGAGGGGCGGGGCCTGGTGGGCGGGGCCAGCCAGGAGTGGGATTTGGGAGTTCTCCAAACTGCACAAAATCTTAGCTAGAGGTTCTCCCAAACCCCTGCAAACCCCCAGCAGCCTAACCCTGCTTATGTGTATCTCTATTGGCCAACTATGGCTGGGATTGAGGGAAGTGAGGTTCTTTAGTGTCTGTTCATCTGTGGGCAATTTCCCTCTGGGACACACAGCCAACTTGTTACAGGCTATGAGAGAAGGCATAGTTTGCTTACTCTGATCATTGATATATAAAAAAAGAACCTCTTCTCAAAAGGCTGTGGGACTGCTTTCCCCAGCTGTGCAGGTTGTCAAGTAGGCTGGGAATTAAAAAACAACAACAATAGAACATAGAATAACAGGGTTGGAAGGGACTTTGGAGGTCTTTAGTCCAACCCATCCCACAGCAGAAATTAATTAATTGAATTGAATTCTCTTGCATCAGAATGTGATTAAGTTGGGGAAAGCTAAGCTTAGAAGATTTCCCATTTCTTTGGGTGTGTTCCTCAGAACTCTTTGGTTTTCTCCAAAACTTTAGAAGCTGTTCTAGTTCTTTATTTAACAAAGTGATAGCACCACACAGCAAAGAGATATAAAAAAATTGCAGGCTGATCTACATTTATTTTCCTGGAAGTGTGAATGTGAATAGTCACTGCATGGACAACAGACACCAAAGTCTCTGAAGAAATAAACCTGAGAATTCCCCAATGACAACATCAATTTCTCACTGAGAACCGTGTTCTCCTACTAATCTGCTAAAAACTTTTTAGATTTTAAGACTCCCTAAAAATTTATCTTGGAGACCTCCTTTTCCCAAGAGATTTTGCCTGTTGAGGCTGAAATATCTAAAAGCAATTGCTGAGCATCTCCTCTTACCAGGAGCTACAGAGTGAGAGAATCTAATGGTAGGTGCATGTTCTCTGTGGGAACCATTTTCCCCTAGAACAGATTAGAATATAGAACATAGAATCATAGGGGTGGAAGTATCCTTGGAAGTTGTCTAGTCCAGGGGTCTCCAACCTTGGCAACTTTACGACTTGTGGACTTCAATTCTCAGAATTCCTCAGCCAGCAGTACCGTGTTTTCCCGAAAATAAGACCCTGTCTTATATTTTTTTGAACCCCGAAATAAGTGCTTGGCCTTATTTTTTGGGAGGTCTTATTATTTTGGGGTGCATGGAGCAAGATGGGGCTCCTCTTGCTGTCTTACCTAGTTTTGAGCTCTGCGTTTAAATATTTTTGGGGAGGGCTTATTTTCGGGGGAAGGCTTATTTTAGTGCATGCACTCAAAAGCCCAGTTGGGCTTATTATCAGGGGATGTCTTATTTATTTATTTATTTATTTATTTATTTATTTATTTATTTATTTATTTATTTATTTATTTATTTTATTATTCACATTTCTATGCTGCCTACTCTCCGAGGACTCTGGGCGGCTTACGCCAAAGACAGTATACTAAATAGCATATTGCCCCCAACAATCTGGGTCCTCATTTTACCCACCTCGGAAGGATGGAAGGCTGAGTCAACCTTGAGCCGGTGAGATTTGATCCGCTGATCTGCTGAACTAGCAGTCAGCTGAAGTAGCTGCAGTACTGCACTCTAACCACTGCGCCACCTCGGCTCTTATTTTTTTGGGGAAACAGGGTATTTCTGAAATACAATTATAAGCCAGGTAAAGAAAAGCACATCAAATGATATAGAATACTTGTGTTTAAGAAGCACCAAGTTTTTACATTTTTATTTCCTAATTCTGAAATTCAACACACTTGGTAGATTTAATAGCTCTTTCACATTCCAAGGCAATGTGACATATGCGAAAAAAGACAATTGTAACCTCTAAAGGGGTATTTGAGAGCCTTGTGCACATCTTACACAAAGCAGTCATGATACCTACTGTGAAGAAGTAAACAGAAATATTATGGGACAAATTCATTCCTGATTTTAACTCACATGGTAATTCACACAGTCAAGACGATTAAATGAGACATGCTATCTGAGTTTGGTGTTATTTAACAACATCCGTCAGCATCAGCTCTGGTTTTGGAGATGGAATCATGATTACTGCATAGCCCTCTGCATTTTCATCAGAGCTGATCTTGCTCAGAGTCAAATATTCATTTTGAGAAGTTAAATCAGCCATGGGAAACCAAGTGAGATACAATGAGATCACACGTTTTGTTCAAATTTGGGCCAAATCTTTGTTATTGGAAAGATGCAACAGCCATTTAGGCATATCTGGACCCCAATTAAGAAGCATCAGTGACAATGAGGACAGAATGGTACTTGGGGTACAAAGAGTAACCACATAACTGCATAACCAGATACAGCTCAGGATCGATCCAAACTGGAGCACTTCCTCACACCCCACCTTCCAGGTGTTCAACTTTAATGTTAAATCAATATAAAAACAGCTGTTCAAGCAGCTATTTTTCAGACATGTTTAATATGCCTGCTGGGAATCAGAAGAGCTGCATTTCAGGACATAATAGCTTGAGGAAGGCATATATATAAATAAAATTGGGTAACATCAGAAAACGAAAAGTATTGCAAGAAATCTTGGAATGTGGAAACTTAATTTTTTCCTTAATCTTGAGGAAAAGGGAATGTGGCTAATTAATCAGAGGAGACACCTGTTCAGAAAATGTCAACAAATCATCTGTACAAATGTGAATAGGAGGTGCTACAATGGGCAGATTCCACATGTTTGCAATTATTTCCCCCACAATTGACTTTCAGCATCTTTTAGATCAGCGTTTCACTTATTTTAAGATCTACGGACTTCAACTCCCAGAATTTCACAGTCAGCAGAATTTAAGACAGCTACGTTGATTGACATTTTCTCTCCAGAACCAACCTCTCAAAAAGTCTTCACAAGTGGCTGCCGCTGGTCTGAAATCAGAAACTTTGTGTGGCTGGCCCTGATTAGAACTCAGATGGAAGATCACCATGGCCACAGGACTGTAACAAGGACAGCACAGAGGAGAACAATGGCAAACTACTTCTGTCTCTTTTCCCTAGAAAACTTTGTGATGTCTAGCTTGACTAGAGGGTACAGCTTTTGAAGAGCTGAAGGTCATGGACTGTGGCAGGGTTTTTGTTCTCTTGTATGGCAGGCTGGGCAGAAATCAGCTGTGGACTTACTAATTATTCCCTAGGAGGTTTACAAGAGACTGGTTTCTAATTCCCAAATGTTTGGAATGTAGCAATTACATCGCTCCTTACCTCCGCTATAGATTCTATTGCCCAAAGGAAGAAAGCCGGGAGGAGCCTAGAGTGAAATTTTGAGTAGAATGGAAATGAGACCAGTACAATTCTGATTATTTAAAGAAATTCCCACTTCAGGGTTCTTGAAATCAAAGTGCATCTCTAAGTGGTTTGGCTAATGGATCTCATGGAACAAACCTGAAATATGCCCATCAGGATCACATAAGAGTAGATTACAGATCCTTTTATCCAGACGCAACCTGCAGATATTTTAAGTCTTTTGCAGTTAATTAACTTTAAAGGAAAGCACATAAAAGTACAATCATCATTACCAAATCAAGCTGTTCTACATATTCTCATGTCTGTATCCCACAGATTTTCACAAATGTGTGAGTTTGGAGTTAGCCCTGCAAGGGGCTTCTGTGGACAGTTTGTCAAAAAAATCAAGGTAGTGATTGCAACCGTGTTGTCCAACTCCCCCCCCTTTTTTTGCATGAATTGTGCATGTGATATCACAAAAAAGCATACTTGACTTTTTGGACAGCTTCCCTGTCCATGTGGAACTTATGCAAACCCACAAATATTGGACAGGACCTTCCGAGAGTCTTCAAAATTACTCCAGATTGATACCTTAACAGGACCAAAAGTGGAAATTATCAAATGTATGGGGAATATAGAGGTAATTCTAGTTTAGTGTCCACAACTGAGACTGGCAATTGAGTGAAATGATCGCTAAGTGAAACTGCAATTGCTCTTATGATCTTATTCCAACTTCCTTTGCTTTACAGACCTGGGAAGATGATAAATAGGAGAATTAATTGCAATGTTACATTTTCATCAGAGTAACAGCAGTTGCTGTACAAGGCAGATGCTAAGCAAGGACTCCCTGTACTTGAATTGTATTTAATTAACTTATTTTAATGAAAATGTGATTAAAACTATTTTTCCCCCACTGGGCTGCACCTGGCTAGGTGGCTCAGTGGCTAAGACGCTGAGCTTGTCGATCAGAAAGGTCGGCAGTTCGGCGGTTTGAATCCCTAGTATAGGTCTTCTGCGTGAGGAGGGGGGTTGGACTAGATGACCTCCACGGTCCCTTCCAACTCGGTTACTGTTATTATTTGTCCTCCATGTATGCCGTTCCATGACATCATACCATTCGAAGACCAAATGTAGATTGCGGACCTGAAAAAAATATATGATTGCGTATTCCTGCTATAAAGAAATGGGCAGAGTTTCTAATTCCCAAATGCAGTCAAAAGTCTCCTGTTTGACTTTTGCACTTGTCAATAATGAAAGGATGACATTTACCCAAGCAACACATACACACAAAAAGCTGGTTGACAAAACATTTTCCCCCTACAAAGATGTGTCAACCCTGAGCTTGTAATTAAGAAGTTAAAATCTGTGATTTTTATATATATATTTATATTTATATTCATATATATAAAAATAGATGGCCGTACTAAGACTAAAAAAGTGAAATAAATTCGGAGTGTCAGTACTATATATATATTATATATGTATATAGAGAGATATTTGTGTGAGTGCGTGCACATGTAGGCGTGTCAATAGTTCAGCAAGAGAATTCCCTTTTGATACAATAAACAATAGGAAGAAAGTCCTTTCTTTGAAAAGTTATTGATCCAATTACTATTGTTGGCTGCTTTTAAGTTGGCCATTTGGGTATGTCGAATAGCACGGGTTCAGAAAATTCTTTTCGAGATCAAAAGTGAAAGCGAGAAAGAAAGATTATCATATATCATAAGAGATTTGTGTGTGTGTAGGATGGACGGTCTGTCTAATGTTTTAAATTCAAGAATTGTTAAAAAAAATGCTGCAGATGGGTGGTAATAGGGGAAAAGGGGTGGGGGGCTGCAGAGGTTTGTTAAAAATGCCAAGATTGGCATATGATTGAAGCCCCACCCCTTTTTATGTGCAATCCATGAAGACAGTAGGCCTCTAAAAAGAGGAGTGGCTTCAATTACATAATCATTTTGATTTGTTTTGACACCGTCCTGCAGATGCCCCCATAGGGCATTCCTGTGCCCATGCTGTAACATGGGTCAAACCAACTGCAACAAAAACCTTAGTTGGCAAACACCAACTGGTGAGAGCAAAGGGACAGGAAGGTGCTATTCTCGTTCTCAGAAAGTGTCCTATTTTTGCTTCAAACCTCTCCGTCAACTCTTCCATTGACAGTTAAGAATAAACATAGTTTATACCTGTGTTACAAAACCAAAACAAAGCACCAAACTCCAAGATATTCTCTCAGTGACTAACATCATTTTGGTGATTTGAAGTGCAATACAGAAGTGTCCTAGATAAGAAGGCTTTGCTTTCCTGTGTGTGTGCATATGTACGTGCTTATTATTCGGCCTTGGAATAGCTTTATTTTCAATGTGTTTCTTCTTCCCGTTCTCTTTTTCTTTCTAATGGGAAAAAAAGAAATAAAAATAAAAGCCCATGTTGGGTCCCCTAAATTCCCCCCCACCCCATTTTCTTTCTTTTTTTCTTTCTTTCTGAAGCATAAAAGCAAATCATATTCTGAAAAGTCTTCTGGAATAAAAGTGTGAGAGAAGAGATCGCTGAGAAGCAGACATTGCCTTCCCCAGATGGAAACCAGAAGAGGCTCTTCTAGGCCTCAGCACTCTCCGTGAAAGTGCCAAACTGGGCAGGAGGCAGAGCCGCTTCTTTCTGGTAGAAAACCGTAAGGGTTGGTGGTCTGGTCCATTGTCTGAGGGCATCAGAAAAGGAGCAAATTGGCTGTTCTGTTCTTTTTCAATAGCTAAAAGGCAGTCAGGGCTGACCGGAGCCAGGATTATCTGCAGTGTCTTTGCAGGAGAAAGACTGTAAGAAGGAGGAAGCCTGTGAAGACAGATGGGCTGGGCTGGTTGGCTGAAGAGTCCACTTCCCTCCTGTCTGAGTCAATGAGAGGAGTTTCTGTGGTGATGAATTCAAATTCTGTTGGACAAATGTCATCTGTACAGCCGCTTCCACTACCGGAGCCACTGGCTTCTTCACCTGTAGGACCAGGGAGAGAAAGAGAGAAATCAGGGAAGAGCTTTAGAGAACAGCTCAAGCTGTATACACAGAAAGTGGAGTAGCTCCAGGTGACTTTCATTGTCTGAGAGACACTGCCTGATGGGTCTGAGTCAGGGGTGAAATCCAGCAGGTTCTGACAGATTCTGGAGAACTGGTAGCGGAAATTTTGAGCAGTTCAGAGAACCGATAGCGGAAATTTTGAGCAGTTCAGAGAACCGGTAGTGGAAATTTTGAGTAGTTCGGAGAACCGGCAAATACCACCTCTGGCTGGCCCCAGAGTGGGGTGGGAATGGAGATTTTGCAATATCCTTCCCCCAGGAGTGGGGAGGGAATGGGGATTTTGCAGTATCCTTCCCCTGGAGTGAGATGGGAATGGAGATTTTTCAGTATCCTTCCCCTGCCATGCCCACCAAGTCATACCACGCCCACCAAGCCACGCCCACAGAACCGGTAGTAAAAAAATTTGGATTTCACCACTGGTCTGAGTGTACCACTTGCTGGACCATCAGCTTCCAGGAGGGCTGGTGCAGAACTCCTTCCCAGGACCTCATAGTAGGTCCCACATTGACCATAAGGCAGGGGTGTTACCTGTGGAAGAAGGATCTGCCAGGGTCACACAGAGAGCCCACAAAGATACTCTCAAAAGGCCACACATTGAAGCAAATATAAGGAGCGAATTATTTAATTTGAATTTTTGAAAAATACATAGCTGCCTTTTTTTCTGCTGACACAAAATTATTAAAATACCCGCTTGAGCCATGAGTTTGGGCCCAAAGAAATAACAGAATTGAAATAGCAAACCGAAAATCTGTTAGCAAATTGCAACCTGGATATTTCCACAAATGTAGTGAGAGGTATAGCAGCGTTTTTACAGGATATTCTTAGCCAAATTTACTGAAAAAATAACCTCTTTTTTTCCCCCAGGGGAACTTATTTATCTATTAATATTTCATTTAAAACAAAAGTTATTTTGTCTTTGCATATAGGAGGGTTATATATTAAAAAATTCAACATGTGTAATAATGCTGGAAAAATGAATAAAATATCTTAAGTATCAATAACAACCCAGCATTCCTCTTCAGGGGTGGGCAAATGTGGCTCTTTTACAACCTGTGGCTGTCTCAGGAATTCTGGGAGTTGAAGTCCACAGGTTGTAAAAGAGCCACATTTGCCCACCCCGTCTTAGATAATACAGGTAGTCCTTGACTTACAACAGTTCATTTAGTGACTGTTCGAAATTACAATGGCGCTGAAAAAAGTGACTTATGACTTACTTTTTATGACCATTGCAGCATTCCCATGGTCGCGTAATTTATAGTCGGATGTTTGACAACTGACTCACATTTACGATGGTTGCAGTGCAATGGGGTCATGTGATCATTTTTTTTGCAACCTTCCGACAAGTAAAGTCAATGGGGAAACCAGATTCACTTAACAACCGTGTTACTAATTTAACAACTGCAGTGATTCAGTTAACGAATATGACAAGAAAAGTCGTAAAATAGGGCAAAACCTGCTTAATACATTTCTCACTTAGCAAGATAAATTTTGGCCTCAATTGTGGTCGTAGGTCGAGGACTAGCTGTAATAAAATAATGTGAACATCTAAGGAGGAACAGCTCTGCCCGGGTGACACTTAATGTTGAAAGATTTATTGATCTGGGCATGTCGCAATTCCCCCCCCCCCCAACAAGGCAAGGTAGAGCAGCTAGTTTCTGAGGTAGATATTGTACAAAAATAAAAATGTCATGTGTGCACATATGAAAAAAGAAAGGGAACCACTGCCATGTTTTGTTTTGTTTTTTAAATCCATATAGTACTTGGTACTTATGTACAAGTCACATTCTTAACCACAGTATTTTCTGAGCAGAATAAAGATAAGATAACTTTAGTTATTTTTTTCCCCTGATGCTGCTGAATTTAACCACCCCTAACATATTTAAAATGTAGTTAACTATTCTTTATTTGGTGAGAAGAAAGCTCTTCAGTTTTTACCCCATTAATTTTACATAGATGTCTACAGGTTTCATTTTAAGCCTTTTTGGTAAATCAGCATAACATCTACAGTACATACCATGAAACTATTAAAGAATCTTAAAGTAACATGTGTGTGTGTGTTTATACTCAATAAATCAATCAATAAACACAAACACATTTTTGTGTGTTTGTGTATAAAATGAAAAAAAAATAGTAGCATAGTTCTAAACATATTCTCTCAATGGGAGAGAAGTTTTAAAAGCAGTTTTTCAAGTGTTTATTAAAGGTTCATTCTAATACAGAAATTTTCAACGAAGCTTTTACGTTAGCACAAGATAAGTGTTGTGCTTTCCTCTTTTGCTCTATGGCCTACATATATAGAGTTTTCAGAAGCCAACCAAGGAGTATCCCTGTTGTGGTCTGCCGGCGGTCTGCGGAGCTGGTAGCAGAGTCGGACAGTGAGGAGGTTGGGGAGGAACATGGGCCAGTCCTGGAGTCTGGGGAAGGCTCGGACAAGGGCTCTGCGTCAGAGGCAGAGAGGGGGCCAGGGCCATCTGGGAGTTATGGGCTGCCTCCAGAGCCAGACATCAGTGAGGCAGAGGAACAGGGGAAGTCTGTTCTCAGTGCGCGCATGCGCAGAGCTGCCAGAAGGCAAGAACAGTTAAGACAAAAGGGATGACTTGGGAGTAGGGCTTGGAGATGATTGGCCCCTCCCATAAGACATAAAGGAGAAGCAAAGGCACGTGAGCCTTTGCAGGAAACAGCTTTGTTCATTTTGGTCGGTTTAAATTCTGAAGCTCCATTTTGACTCTGTGCTCCATGTGGCCTTGCAAAGCTAATTGCCAATTAGGTCTTTGGCAGTGTATCAAGGGAGATAAAGGTGGGTGTTTATTAGCCTTATCCCGAAGGACTGTGCCAGACTTCTGTTGGACTCTTTACAAACTATTTGTGACTCATTTCACAGCCGTTGAAATAAAAAGAGGGTTTTTGGGACTAACTGTGTGCTTTTTACAGTCTCAGGAAGCCTAGGTCAGAAAAACCCCAACCCTTTGCTTCCCCTGGGCTGAGCTTCTCTATGCTGTGCCAGTCAAAGAGTGCTGGAACCCAAGACGTGCCTTTAGCTTTGTGGGATGTGGGTAGACAGGACAGCCCTGCTTTAAATGTTTGCATGCTTCTGGCTACACAAAAGTATCTTAACATGCTTCCAAACTTCAGATGAAAATGCTTATTGTTCCTTTCCATTTCTTTCTTCTAAATGGTTTAGAATCTTTGCAAGCAGGAAGGTCCACAGGGCTTAGTTTTGCCGTGATATTTTTCACTGTCATTTTTCCAGGCACGGGAAATCAGAGGGTTTCACTCCATCTCTCAAATATGCCAAATAACCATACAGAGATACTGTGTGTGAAATGCTTTTAAGTCAAGCGACAGGAAAAACAATAAAATGGAAGTTAGGTGGAATTATCAAAATATTAACAGCTCAATAGAATAGTAGGTAGCACAAAGAAGGGGGAAAAAAACTTGCTAAATTTCAGAGAAGAAAAGAAGAACGGGAAAAGGAGGGGAAGAAAGAAGGGGGAAAGAGAAAGAGAGAGGGTAAGAAAGGGAGGAAGAAGAGAGGAGAGGGGAAAGAGGAGATGAAGTAGAAAAGGGAAGGAGAGGAGGAATGAGGAAAATAGAAAGAAACAGAAGAGGAGAGAGAAGGGAAGAAAAGGAAAGGTTGTATTAAAATAAAGGAAGGAAATGGTAGAACAGACCCGAACAACTAATTAACAAATGGAAGTTAAAGAACAAGATGAATGAATAATGATTAATGATGGACAAAAGACTGTACATTTGAATATGTTGATAAAAAATAAAAATAAAAAACTTAAAAAAAAGAGAAGGGAAAAAAATCTTGCTAAATTTCAGCCTGGGGATCGGGTCATTGATTTAGAGCTGCAAGCAGATTTACCAGCTCTGTTTAGAAATATCTTCCTAAATTACTCTGCACTGGAATTGGACAATTTGCTACAGCCAACTTGCTGCGGGAAAATTCAACAATTCAATTTAATCATTTAAAATAGTTAAATATTATTTTAATTCTTGTCATTCACATACTATTTTTGTCCCTCCTTTGGCATCCTCTCTTCAATAATTCTATCCCACTATTTCTTTCATATTAGTATAACTCTTGTCCTGTGTTGACTTGTCCCGTGGAAAGTTGGCTGTGGTGAGATGGCCATGGTGAGTTGTCATAGACCCTTCTGCACATCTCTTCCAACCAGCCAGATACTTTTTAGTTGCAGAATGCTTCCAAAATGCAGACGGGCCTTAACCTTGGCCAGGTTCAATGCTTTTCTAACAACTGTGACTGAAAGGAGATACCAAAAGATCCCCTTTGCACAGAGTCCATGCGGTGGAGGAATAATTGAAATAATGGAACATGTTATTTTATATTGTCCTCTTTATGCAGATGCTAATCAGGAATTATTACCTCTGTTCTTTATTTAATATCCTGATTGTTTTATCTTAAGTTGTTATTATCAGATCAATCTACTTTTACTTCTTTGACCACATCTAAGTATTGTTCTCAGAGGGACGTAGTGGCTCAGTGGCTAAGACGCTGAGCTTGTTGATCGAAAGTTCAGCAGTTCAGCGGTTCGAATCCCTAGTGCCGCATAATGGGGTGAGCTCCGGTTACTTGTCCCAGCTTCTGCCAACCTAGCAGTTCGAAAGCACATAAAAAATGCAAGTAGAAAAACAGGGACCACTTTGGTGGGAAGGTAACAGCGCTCTGTGTGCCTTCGACGTTTAGTCATGCCAGCCACATGACCTCAGAGACGTCTTTGGACAGCGCTGGCTCTTCACCTTAGAAACGGAGATGAGCACTGCCCCCTAGAGCTGGAAACGACTAGCATGCATGTGCGGGGCGGAAACTTTACCTTTTACTTTTAAGTATTGTTCTAGAGCAGTGATGGTTAACCTTTTTGGTGCCGAGTGCCCAAAGCATGCGCGCACATGCATGAATGCATGTGCGCATGCCACAACCCCTAAAATGCAATGTGAGTGCCCCCCACGCATACACCCTGTGCATGCATGCACGTTCCCTGTGCATGCGCCCCCTGCGCCCCCTGTGCATGCATCCCCCTGCGCATGCCCCCCCCCCTGCGCATGCACCCCCTGCGCATGTGCCCTGGGCCCCCGTTTTATCTTCCAGGTCAACCCCATCAAATCCTAGCTGCCTCTTGCCTTCCACGATTTCCAAAGTTTCTTCCCCATCGAATCCTAGCTGCCTCCTGCCTTCCACGATCTCCAAAGTTTCTCCCCCACCAAGTCCTAGCTGCCTACCTTCCACAATCTCCAAAGTTTCTCCCCCATTGAATTCTAGCTGCCTCTTGCCTTCCACGATCTCCAAAGTTTTTCCCCCATCGAATCCTAGCTGCCTCCTGCCTTCCACAATCTCCAAAGTTTCTCCCCCCATTGCATCGTAGCTTTCTCCTGCCTTCCTGCCACGGAGAGGCACCTGCAGAGGGTGGTACCTGCAGAGATTGGGGAAGGCCCTGCCCCCGTGCATGCGCGGCAGAGACCCGAAGACCAGCTGGCTGATGGGAGATGCACGCATGTGCGGCTGATGGGAGGTGCACGCATGTGCGCCCCTGGGCTGGGGCGACGGCTGGCGTGCCCGCAGAAAGGGCTCTGCGTGCCACCTGTGGCACACATTCCATAGGTTCGCCATCATGGCTCTAGAGTATCTTTAAAGTATGCCATAGTATTTCTTCTAATCCCTTTTAGATATTTTAGAACTGTTTTCTCCTAAATGTAATTTCCTTGCTGGTCAATCACCAAATAAAACTAAAAATCAGTAGATCAAACCAGGGATAATCTGCCCATCAAACAGGTGTTACAGTATAATCAGTGAGGCACCACTAACCAATAGAAAAAATGCAGGGAAGAAAGGAAAATTTATTTCAAAGCTGGTTGCTGTGCTTACACACATGTGCATTTTCATGAATTTGATATAACTTTATATACACATATACATATACATATACATATACACACACACACACACAGACACACACACACACAGACACACACACACACACACACACACACACACACACACACATATATATATATATATATATATATATATATATATATATATATATATAATACACCCACAGATGTATAAAATATGTCCATCCAATAAAATCTGCCCCCCAAAAGGAAAGTAATGGAGAGCTGTTTTCCTGGAACAGAAAATTGGAAGCATACACCAGCAGGAGAATTGTCCAGGAAATGAATTTTGGGGCCTGCACTCTGAACTGAATCCTTTGCATGGTGCTGCTAAAGAGTCATGACAGCAGTTTTCAAGACAAGTGTAGAGTTAAGCTGCATCAGCACAGGCCTGGAGCAACCTGTGTGGGAGAAGCAGGATGGCTGGAGGGAACTTTTCTAGTATAGCAGATTTCATGTTACACATGTTACACATGTGCACATACCCACACACACTCTGTTTTTTTTAAGAGAGATGCAATCTCTTTCTCTCTGAAAGGAAACTGTGCAGTTGGGTACCATTTCTTATCTTCTGATTTAGGGGTAGGTGTTGCCTTAGGTGGGCATCTTACTGGAGGTTTTCAAAAATAGATTGGACAACCATTTGAATGGGAATGGTACAGGTTCCTGCCTTGAGCAGGAGCTTGGATTAGAAGACCTCCAAGGCCCCTTCCAGCTCTATGATTCTATGATTTAATCTAGAAGCAGAGCAGCTGGATGGTTTCCAGTCTCTGCTCATCATATAGTAGAAACTTTCTGGGTGGGATAAATAGACTGGTTTTGTTTTATACTGTAGGACAGGGGGTGTCAAACTCAAGACCGCAGGCCGCATCTGGCCCACAGGGTGCTTAGATCTGGCCCGCAGGGCCATCCTGGAAACAGTGAAGGACCGGCCCGTGGTGCCTCTGCCAGCAAAAACAGAGCTCAGAAGGGTCATGTGTGACCCTCCCAGGCTCTGTTTTCAGCTGTGACAGTCTCATGCAGCCCCCCTGCCAGTGAAAACGGAACCTACGCACGGCCTCCCTGAGCTCCATTTTTGCTGGCAGAGGGCTGCAGGAGCCCATCCCAGCTGAAAATGAAGCCTCGAGTGACATGGAGCTAGCCACACACACCCAGCCACGACCCCCCCCAGCCCCTCCCGAGGTCAAACACAATTCTCATGTGGCCCTCAATGAAATCGAGTTTGACACCCCTGCTGTAGGACCTCCTCCTGGTAGACATGGAAGACCTTAGCTCGTGAAAACTCATAAAACCACTGAAAGTAAAAGTAAGGCTTGGATGGCGATAGAGTGGATGGATCTCTACCATTTGATTCATATGTGTAAGACTGTTCTTTATAAGTCAACCAAAAAGCAACAGTTTCAAGACCACACAGAGTCTTCAGAACATCTTTTTCAGCTCTCAGCTTGTTCTCTGTGATTGCTGAAAAATTAGTGATGAATTTCCACTTCATTCAGAAGTGAGAAACAAACTCAATAGTATTATAAGCCCTGAAGTTGGCTTAATACTGTTAAAAAACTGGAGCACTGTACCCTGATTAGATCAACATGGAAAAACCTGGTTCCTACCTCCATTTATGATATGACCTTACTTATTCTGTCCAAAGGCCCACCCACAGTGGTGTCTAGCCACTGGATACAGGAAGAAGACAGACAGTAATTTCAATGCAGATTGCTACTAGTTTTAAAAGTAAAAAAGCAAGGTTGCAGCAGAGAAAATTGCCTACATAATGTCTTACTTGTGTCCTGAAAGTTCACATCATTCCCATTGTATGCATTTTTTAGTTTGTTGGTCATTACTCTTAGTGCCATAATTTGCTGTCTTATGTAGGTATCAGGCCGGGTGATGTCCACATCAACCTCAGGATTGTTTATCTGATTGGTGAGTCCATCATTCATGATCTCAGGTAGATACCTGTACACCAGAATGGAGAATTAAGACACATCACTGTAATGATTGCACTTCGATTGCGTTATTCACCGAGACAAGAACATTCATCCATGACTTATACATTCATCTTTTGTGATAAAAATGCTTATAGGATCATTCATTCATTCTAGGGTGTCTTATGTTTCGGGGAGGGGTGTCTTCCTAGAATGGATGCAAACCAGGGATGAAATCCAGCAGGTTCTGACAGGTTCTGGAGAACCGGTAGTGGAAATTTTGAGCAGTTTGGAGAACCGGCAGTTACCACCTCTGGCTGGCCCCAGAGTGAGGTGGGAATGGAGATTTTGCAGAATCCTTATCCCAGTAGTGGGGAGGGAATGGGGATTTTGCAGTATCCTTCCCCTGCCACGCCCACCACCAGATTTCACCACTGATGCAAACAAATAGTTCCCTTTTCCAAAAAATTATAAAATATCACTGTATTTCCTGAGTAACCATGACTCAAAATCTCAAAATTCCTAAATGGCCTATTCCAGTGGTGGGATTCTGCCAGTTCCCACCACTTTGGGAAAACCAGCTGTTAACTTTCTGAGCAGTTTGGCAAACTGGTTGTTGGAAGAAATCATTAGGGCAGAGAACCAGTTGTTAAATTACTTGAATCCCACCATTGGCCTATTCTACAGAGGAAGATAGATGGGAGAGAATATTTTCATGTTTAGAACAGAACAGAATGAAGAGTTGGAAGGGACCTTGGAGGCATTACAATGGAGAGAGATAGCTTTCATTAGTTATGGACAAAGAATGCCAGTGTTCCTTGTGTTCAATTGACAAAATGTCGCAAAGCAGAGCAAAGCCTTCTAGACATTACATGCGATGTTTCATCTGTAAATATTGTTTTTATTGTTTTTTTTTCTCACTTACTTAGCTTTGGTGTGTCCATTCCAGCAATCCTCTTCATTTGACATGCCAGCAGTCACTGTTTCTTCCTTGCAGATGGTGTACGGTAATGTAGACCAGAACTTTTTGGAAAGCTTTAGTTTTTCTTTAATGTCAATTACCTAATAACAAGACAAAGGGAAGGTATTTGGTTAAAAAAAACCCCCAGTAAAGCCTGTTTCTGAAAAATATTCAAAGAATTCAATAAATATGGGGTATGTACTAGGATCAGGGTCACAGCTACAGGATAAAGGCCTGTGGCCATGCAGGCTGGGATCCTTGAATGATATATCCCAGTGGCCAAGCTGCAACAACCCACAATATGCTAGGTTGGCTGGATCCAGGCTGATGGACAATCATAGGCTTTGAAATATGGGAATGTTAGCAAACACTCCTGCACACGCAACTCGACTTGTGCAAGTGGAGCCGTGCCTGCATGCATATGAGCGCCATCCCATCTCTCGTGCAAGTCGAGCTGCGCATGTGTGTGTACTGGCCTGCCACTTGCGTGGTCCGGTTTCCCTGTACCCCTCCCACTGGCAACACCAAGCTGCAAAGGCTGGAGACCATTGCTTTAGGACAGGGGTCTCCAAACTTGGCAACTTTAAGACTTGTGGACTTCAACTCCCAGAATTCTTCTGGCTGAGGAATTCTGGGAGTTGAAGTCCACAAGTCTTAAAGTTGCCAAGGTTGGAGACCCCTGCTTTAGGATGCATCTCTCTACATGTGGAACAACAACATATTTCTCTCTTCTTGAACTTGCATTCTTTTAGGAAGACTTTTTCTGTTTCTTTTAAGAAACATTAACTCTTTACATCTTCAATAGCTGACTGTCCCAATCTTTACCAATAAATTCGGGTATAAGATAAATATCCACAATCTGGTATTTGCTGATATCAAGCCCCAGGTAGGTAGAGATTAAACACTTGTGAAATGCATGGTATCCCACTCAGGCTGGGGGGCAACATTGGCCACCAAAACTGTACATCTCCCTACATATATTGTATCTAAAAACATGCAGCAACTCCTGAACAGTGATGGTGACTTCACTAAAGTATTGTCATCTCTACAAGGCAGGGGTGAAATGCTCCCGGTTCGGACAGGATCGCCCGATGGCGGCGGGTGGTTCAGAGAACTGGTAGCAAAAATCCCCCACCATGCCCAGCTGAGCTGCACGATCATCAGAGGCTTTTTTTTACTTTCAAAAGCATTTTTTCTACAACCTCTTCCGACGAAAAAATGCTTTTAAAAGTAAAAAAAAAAAAAGCCTCTGATGATCGCGCGGCTCAGCTGGGATCGTCAGAGGCTTTTCAAAGCATTTTTTTCTGCAACCTCTTGGCCAAAGAGGTGGTAAAAAATGCTCTGAAAAGTCTCTGACGATCCCAGCTGAGTTGCTTGATTGGCAGAGGCTTTTCAAAGCTTTAGAAAAAATGCTTTGAAAAGTTAAAAAAAAAAAGTTGGCAATGCCCACCCAGTCACATTACCCCCAACCAAGCCACGCCCACAGAACTGGTATTAACAAATTTTACATTTCACCCCTGCTACAAGGCAACATTTTTGCTCTTATTCTTTTGAGAAATGGATTTAAGTTACCATCGTGAAATTACCACACCCACAACTACTCTAATAGCTCTAGAATTGAGCTAGTAGAAGGGCCTCTGTATCTTTTTAATGCATATCATTGCGTTCTGATTCTTATCTATCTTTTCCCTTGCAAGACACAAGAAAACACAAATAGAAACCATGGAAGAGTTCAAGGTCTGATCAAGACCTTTGCATGGCTCTCCAAGATATATTTACTGGGTTAAACTACATGAAATGCAGTGATTAATGCAGAAATTGTGGAGTTGCCTTACTTATTATTACTGACATTTCTGTAATATGTGATGAGAACCAGTTTGCTCTAGAGATTAATGCACCAGACTAGAAAAATCAGGCAAGAATTCAAGTTCTGACCTAGGCATGAAAGCTGGCTGGGTAATTTTGGGCCAATCACTTTCTCTCAGCTCAATCCACCTCACTGAGTTCTTGTTGTGGGAAAAATAGGAGGAAGAAGGACGATTACATTGTGAATCGCATCATGTATGTATGCATGATGCAATACATACATGATGCACTCATGTATGAGTGCATCATGCCTTTTGAATTTTTTAAGGTATAACTTTAAATAAATTTTATTTTATACCTTGTTTTAAAAATAATAATGTTCGCTGCCTTGAGTTACTTATAAAGTAATAAAGGCGGGATAATAATCTAATAAATAAATATATAAAATTTCAACATTAGGTATTACTGGGACTGCTGGATAATGGTCTGTATATAAAGCCCATCATGAAGACAGAAAGTTAGACAACAGAATTAAACAAAATAACAGAAACAGAAACATAGGTTTAAAATCCTAACTGTATGTGACTAACCATAATCACGTGAAATAATTCCAGTATAAAAATACCTTAGTCTTCTGTTCTGTGTGTGTGTGTGTGTGTGTGTGTCTGTGTGTGTGTGTGTGTGTGTGTGATATTTCAAGAATTGCTCCTTTCATGTATGACAAGACTTGAAAATTTCTTGTCCTCTAGATGGCAATATTGACTAATGTTTTCTTTTCCCACTACTTGGGACACACAAACTCCATACAAAATATATCCTAAATAAAATTGTAGATTATTCTATTGAATATAAAACTGACAGGACTGATATTTTAAAACTTGAAACTGACAGGCTGCTATTTTAATGAGGTCTGCCAGAGCCAAGGTTAACCAAAACCTTCGTTCATTACAAAATGTTAAGACCTCAATTCGCAGCAAGTGAAGGAAGAACATTACGCCTAGTGATATCTTGACAGGGTTCTCAAAATTGCAATCGTGAATGTGTTTTGCACCCTCATGCCTTTTGAGTTTTTTTTAAAGTATAACTTTAAACGAATTTCATTTTATTCCTTTTTTTTTAAAAAAAAATAATAACACAGCATGGGTAATTACAAATGAGTATTGCATTGTAGCGGTTACAATAACATTAAACAAACATTTATTCTAAAGAGGCTTTTCTTTTGTAATTAAAAAAAAACCTGAAATGAAATACAATCAACAAAATATTTTAAATTGATAGTAACCTCATACTTTACTTAAAAGCTCTGATGCGGAAGCAATTACCGGTAGCCTACTAATATCAATTAGGGTATTAACACAGTAAGAGATACGTTGGGCCAGATCAAAGTAGACCGAGTCAATTTTTCTGTTTCTACATCTGCCATCCAAATACCTCTGAGAAGGGTTTGATAATCATGATTTCATTGCAGGAACACTATTATGCTAGGAATTCTTGTTTATACTTAATTCTTCTTGGGTATGCATCTGTATATACATACACTCCAGGGGTGGGTTCTACTTACCTTTACTACCGGTTCGCAATGAGGCCACATGCGTGCACTCTTTTGCGCATGTGCAGAAGCATTTTGGGGACATCAGGGTCGGTGAGCGGAGCCTCCCGCCGGTTTTACTCCCGGTTCTATAGAACCGGTGCGAACTGGGGGCACCCACCACTGATACACCCACCTCTACATTTCAAAACCACAGAGCTCCCAATAAATTCCATATAAAGGAATAACGCTCCTAGCTATGTTTACACTCCTGGAATTCTCTCTGCAACCAGTATGAAAGATAGCATGGCAATGTTCCCCTTCTACAAGACAGAAAACTATGGATAGACCTGAAATTAACGTGTTTCTTTTTTTTTTTTGATGTTGCTCATTTGGCATGTTTTAAAAATATTTTCAGATTTTTTTAAAAAAAAAGATTCGTAAGCTGACTGAAAAAAATCATACCACAGTGTAAGTGTTCTTTGATTAACGACTACTTGATCAGTGACAGTTTGAACTTGCAACAGCGCTGGTACTAATGATGGGTCCTTGGAGTTCTGGTTGACACAAAGTCATATTTGCCAGATTTCAGTAAGCAAAATTTAATTGGAAATTCAACAGGAGATTGTAAAATGGCAACCACATGACATCATCACTTAGTAATGTGCAGTGATTTGCTTAATGATGGCAACAGGGAGTACTGGATTCGCTGTTGCTAAGAAGCATGGTCACATGATCTTGTGCTTAAAACGACAGCAATTCCGGTTCCAACTGCTGTTGTTAACGGCGGGACTCCCTGTACGCAAATCAAAATTGCACATGCTTAGCAATGCAATGATCATGTTAACTATGTGCAATTTTTATACAAGCACGGGAAATTCTAGACTATGAGATGCTTAAGAAAGGGTCCAGAAATAATATAAAATTATTGTATTATAAGGCTGTCAGTGATGATACGCATTTTCTATCCACTTCTCTTAGACCAGAGTTTCCCAACCTTTGAGGACTGGCAGGGGGAGGGAAGAGATGATTCTACATGAGTGGTGGGCAAATGCACGCATGCGCAGCTCCATTTGCATGTGTGCATGCTGCTTGTGCAATAACAACAGCACTTAGATTTATATACCACTTCGCAATGATTTACAGCCCTTTCTAAGACTCAGCCTGTTGCCCCCAACAATCTGGGTCCTCATTTTACCAACCTCAAAATGATGGAAGGCTGAGTCAGCCTTGAGTTGCCAAACTGCTAGCAGTTGACAGTCAGCAGAATTGCATTCTAACCACTGTGCCACCACGGCTCAGTGCACAGGGAACATGTGTGTGTTTGCCTGTTGCTCATGCAAGTGGGGATCAGAGGTGGGTTTCATCAGGTTCTGACCAGTTCTGGAGAACCGGTAGTGGAAATTTTGAGTAGTTCAGAGAAACGGTAAATACCACCTCTGACTGGCCCCACCCCCATCTATTCTCTGCCTCCCGAGTCCCAGCTGATTGGAAGGAAATGGGGATTTTGCAGTAACCTTCCCCTGGAGTGGGGTGGGAATGGAGATTTTACAGTATCCTTCCCCTGCCACGCCCACCAAGCCATGCTGACCAAGCCATGCCACACCCACAGAACCAGTAGTAATTTTTTTTGAAACCCATCACTGGTGGGGATGCACGCGCATGTGCTCACCCACCACCTCACGGTCAAGTTCTGAACGATTCAAGGCCCGGGGATGGGGGTTCCATTTTTGCAGCCAAAATAATACTGAGAGACATAGCACTTAC